GTCAAATTCTTCCGTCCTTGCGGCAATCTTTTTACACCCTTCTCTTGACCTTTACGAGCCCCTTCGCTCGATTTCGAGTTACTTTCTCGAATCCTCGGATTTCTTTTCCGGGTCTTTGCGTTACTTTCGCAGCATCCCTTTCTCGCTGCGGTCCTTGCCTGCAACGGAGCACCTTGCTCCTCTATATCCGGTGGTTTCGGTTCCGGACGATCAGTAGGCTCACCGGCGCCTACTGACCTTGAACGTTTCCTGGGCCATTCCTGAACCGGCGCACCTTGCGCCTGACCGGCACCATTCGCCGGGGCGAAGTTAAAACCTCCGCCTTGCTGACCGAAACCGTTCTGGTTCCCACCGACGAAGCCGCCTTGCTGCCCGCCGAAGTCGCCCTGGCCACCTTGACCGGCGAAATTGCCCTGGCCACCTTGACCGGCAAAATTCTGGCCACCTTGACCACCATTATTCCACTGGCCTCCTTGACCAGCACCGTTCCATTGGCCACCTTGACCACCACCATTCCATTGGCCACCGCCGTAATTTCCGCGATTGCCGCCGCGGCCTCTGCCTCTACCTCGGAAGCCGCCTCTAACCGGGCCATATCCGCCGTTTCCTCCGCCTTGGCCACCTTGACCGGCGAAGTTGCCTTGGCCTCCGAAGTTATCCTGGCCGCCTTGACCTCCGTTGTTCCACTGGCCACCTTGACCAGCGAAATTCCCTTGGCCGCCAAAATTGCCCTGGCCTCCTTGATTGTTGTAGTTGGCCTGGCCACCTTGACCGGCGAAATTCCCCTGGCACCCTTGACCGGCATACCGTCCGCCTTGGCGTGATTGTGGCACGTATCCGTTTGCCATTGCGTTGCGCCATCCGCCATGATTGTTACGCAGCATCAACCATCCTTCATACACGACCCGGTTGGGGTTCTGATTCCACGGTGTTCCCGCGAACGAACACGCTTGTGTGTAGTGGTTGCCGTACATGCAGTTCTGGCATGTCAGCGCGTTATTGGCCACCCATCCGTCGATCATGGTGAACAGGCGCTCTACTCGCGACCCGTATCGTGGTCCTTGATTTCCTTGTCCACGGTTCGGTCGGAAGTTTCCTTGATTTCCTCCGCCACCGTTGAATCCCTGGCCAGCAAAGCCCGGATTCGCCTGAGCCATTCCTTGACCACCGAGCCCTCCATTCAGGGCATTTCTCTGCACGTTTCCTTGTGGATTCTGTTTCGGCCTTGCTGCTTGCTGAGCTGATGCTTGGATCGCCGCGATCGCAGGCTTGGTTACTTCTTGGACGGCCGTTTGGATCGCCGCGATCGTCGCGTACGATACCTGACCTTCATTTCGACCGTTACCAAAGGTCATCTCTTGAGTGCCTAACGGCGGGAATTCCGTATTGTATCCTGACGCCTGCGCCGAGCACGACTGGTTCTGTCGCCCATTCGCGACTTCTTCGATCTGGCCCGATCGGATGATCACGCAATCATCTTGGACTCGGTTGCCTCTCGTGACCTTATACTTTTCTTCGCCAGTCGACCAGGTGCGGAAGAATTCCTTGATATCCATTGGGTTATGGAATTTCTGTGCTCGGAGTGCCTTATAAAGGTCACTGTCGTTCTTACATCCTTGAATCAGGAATCCGATAGCCTGCTTCTCAGTTATGATCCGTTTCGATTTGAAGCGCATGATCGCCTGATAGAACTGGTCAAGCGTTTCTTTGCCGGCCTCGAACTTTCTCGTCATCGCTTCTCTTAAGGCGTTGACCCTTCGTCACGATCGCCAAAATGTTCTTTGAACTTTGTCATCCATTCATCGACGGTTAACTCTTCCGCCTCTTCTTCGTCATCGATTTCTCTTTCCGCGTCAAACCATGCCTTCGCGTCCCCTTTGACTGCGTTGGCGACTTCCAGCATCATTGCTGCATCCGAAAGGTCATACGTCTTCTGAGTCTCCTTGACCTGACGGATCCAACCAAGTAAAGCTTCTCGGTTGCCGTTGTAGTCGATCAACGCGGATTTCCGGGCCATGGCTCTCATGTAACCTCTGAATTCCCGTTCTTCGCGACGGAGTCGCTGTGCTTCAGCGTGGTATTCCGCGCGGTATTCTCTTTCTCGCCTCTCCTCTTCACGAGCTACCCTTTCCTGCTCGTTTTGGCGAACTCGTGGATCTTCATGATTATCTGGTTGATGGTCAGATTTGTAGACAATTGTTTCCCTCGGTCCTGTTTCTTGTTGCCGAGGATTGACCCCACCGATCGGTCCTGAGTGCCCCTTCGCCAACTCAGTATCGTCGGTGACCTTTTCAGCTTTGACCTTATCTTTATCATGGCCGTCGCCTCGGCCAGTCCCCGTCTTTAAGGGAGCTTGGAAATGAAAGCTACCTTCGACGGTGTGGACTTCACCGTATCCAGGGGCGGAGATTCGATCCGTTCCGGCTGTTTTGCCTCTCCTTCCTTCTGTTTTGCCGACCGTTTTAGAGTTTTAATTTCTTCCTCTCTTTGTTTGATTGACTGCTGCAGTTGCTTTACGGTTTCGTTTGCGTTTTTCCGCAGCTTCTCATAATCGTTGTTTACTTCCGTGACCTTTCTCATTTGCTCGAGGATTGTACTTGCCCTGTTATCAAGGGTCTTATCGAGATCCATTTTTGCTGCTTTTAGGATCTCAGCTTCTGCTTCCAACCGTGTGATACGATCCGCTCGAAGTACGAGGGTCCTTCCTCTCGCTTGGCACTCTTCCTCAACTACTTTCAGTTGTGGGCTTTTAGTTCCGTAATTTTATCATCCTTTTCCATTACGGAAGTAGCCAATCCGACTGATTCATCGCCTCAATTTGGCGATCTCTTCTTTTTGTTTTTCATTTTCTGTCTTTCCTTCTTTATTCACGACTTCTAGCACAGTGACCCGTTCGTCACACCGTTGTGCTTCCTTCAACCACTTCTTTGCTTCTTTCTTTTGGTTGTCGATTTCGTCATTGAGTCGCTTGAATTCAGTTTTTGTTATTTCAGCCAGTTCAAGCAGTTCCTTTGCTGCTTGATCTCTCTGGCTTTCCGCTTCGTTGTGTTTCCTTTTCATCTCTTTTAATTCTGTTTGTAACGTGTTGACAAGGTCTTCGCGTAATTTAAGGTCATCCTTCAGTTTCGAGATGTCAGCCGTCAAGCTGGTGACCTTTCCGGTGAACTTCGTCGCATTTGCTAGAGATTCGTCACGTTTTCTCGGCCTCCTTGACCTTTGACTGTAAAAGGTCACGCTCCTTTTCAATTCTGCTATTTCCTGTGACCTTTCAGCTGCTTCCTCGGACAGACCGTAGTTTTCTGCGGTGAGTATGCCTTCCGCGTCTCGATCTTCGACCATTTTCCTTAGATCCTTCCGCAGCTTTTTCTGACCTTCAAATCTGACTTTCCATTGTTGCGTTTCATCTTCGAGCATGGCCTTTTCTTGTTCCATCACGCTCAATCTAGCTTCCACCTCAAAGGTCTTGTTGCGTTGGTCCTATCGCAGCGAATGCTTGCGCTTCCTTTTCGTCGAGGAGTTGTTCTAGTTCCTTGACACGTTGCTTTAATCCATTCAGTACAGAAGTTTTTGGTGATGGTGACCTTTGGTCCCGGTCGTCAGCTTTTCCTGACGCCGTTCCTTCAAAGGTCTCTTCTAACTTGTCCTGGAGGGTCGTTTCAAACATCCCTTTCGTTAAGTTGGCCTCCTTCATTGCCGTATGGAAAGACGTCTGTATCGTCGTTTCGTCTTCATCGTCAGTGTAGAACTTTTCACTGACACGGGACTGGTACCATTCTCTTCCAGCTGTTCTTGTAAGAACAGTGAGTTTTCCGAAAGGTCATCCTGTTTGACCTTTCCTTCGTCGATCAGCTCGTTGCTGCTGACGGCGCCACCACCTTCGGTGACCTTTTGACTGACTTCGTCATTTCCCTTCTCAACTTGATCCGCGTTTTCCTCCTTGACCTTTTCGGCCGACCGTGCCATTCCTCCGGTCTCGGCCTTCTTGTCATCTTTGTTCTGTCCATCTGAAGCCGTTCTCTCTTCGGTGACCTTTGCTTGGTCTACCGTGTTATCTCCGACATGTCGTTCGGAGCTTTTCCATTCCGTCACTCGAGCTTTCGTTCTGAGTATCCCTCAGGGCCGTTTGATATGTGGCCTCTGAGCCTCTGGTGTCCTTCCTCCCAAAGGTCTTTTGAGCTCGAGTTGCTCTTTCATGTTCCACGGGCCGTGTGTACGGCTTTAGTTTCCGTTCGTAAGGGTTTTCTAACCCCTGAGACCGTTCTCTCTGACTGCTCGATGAGACCGGTTCATTACCGTCTGTGTCTTGATCCATATCTTTGGCTTCCGTTGATGATCGGATAACTTGGACGATGCTAATAATGTTTCTGACACGTGTGTTAGTTTTAGCTACGTAAGCCCCTTTACACGTAAACAGAAACAAGCGCTGTCCTAAAGGTCACCTTCTTTTGTATCAGCTCAACTTTATTAAAGGTCACTCTGCCTCAAAAGTGCTAAGTCCCTTCTAAAGGTCACTTCCTTTAGTAAAATGAGATTAATTTCCCACTGTTTCAGCTTAATAGCTTACTCCGTCACGTTAAAGGTCACTTTTTCCTTCAGAACTTTTCCGTTTTAAAGGTCATCATTCTCGTCTAACCTGAGAAATTTTTGGATTTTTGGTAAAGGTCAACTTCTCGTCAGTCGATTCAGAAAATTTTCTCAGCTGGCTACGTCACGATCTTAAGTGCCGTGCGCAAAACTCCGCCTCCTATCGAAATCTCAGCTTCTAATTGGCTAATTTCTAACTACGCTACTGCGCCAATCACAGTGCGAATAACTGACCAATCAGAAACGTTGTTTTTCAGATTATAAGGCAGAGTGACGTCACGTCGAAAATCGAAAATTTTAGCTAGCGCGCCGTGCGCAAAAGTACCGCCTACTTTTCGCTCAGCTCATCACCGACCAATAGGAATTGAGGATTTTACCAATCAGCCAATAGCTAAATTAATAAACGAAAATCTGACCTGATCGTCTCCGTGATCCAGAAATCGATCCTGCGCGTCCTTCCGCGATTCCTCCAATCCTCCAGCGATTAAGCTGACTTCTCCTGGGCCAGCTGATAACCCCTTCCGTTTCGCCTCAACGGGACGCAACGGTGCGTCGACCAAATAGCTTGCTGGCTGCGGGTCTTCTGTCGCGCCTTAACGTTGGCAACGACAGGGGCGCTCGATCACCCCTTTGGGAGAGCGCGTATAATGTGTGTGCGCTCTACTCAGTAGAGACGCACCTGAAACTCCACACCCGACAGCCAAAAGTGGCTTGCCCACTCGTGCCCCCCTTCGGGCTTCTGCCTCTTGCGGCGATCTTTCTCGGCGCTTGTGCCCTCCAATCAAAGCTACTTCAGTAGCCTTGATCGCGTCAGGTCAGTACAGCGTGCTCTACTCAGTAGAGACACACTGATGCTGATCTGCTGATATCCAAACGCTCCTTCGCCACCGATCAGTACGCGAGCCCTTTCTCGCGGGAGACTTCTTCCACACCTCGTCAAATGGACGGGAAAAACTTCAGAGATTATTCTGGAGAAACACGACTCTTGCTACCATATGAGCGTGGACCTGGTGAAGGTTCACGCGTAGGAACAGAATTAACAGAATTCTGCCTACCAAACAGATCTGGCAATGCTATACAGCGCCTACGCTATGGAAAGCGAGAAATGGCGTGATTGCTAGAACTTTATGACAACACTAAATTCGATAGAATTTCCTCTTCGACAACTTCGCATTGCTGACTGCAGCAAGCGAGGAAAATGCGCACGTAGCCGCCACACAGTGCGGGTGCGCGCAGAACACCATGCTTTCGCCACGCGTAAGGCGGGCGCGCAATGAACACACAACAGACTGCCAAGCGAGGGTGTACGCATGTACGCCTGCGCTCACATTTACTTCCTTCAGGAAAGAAGCAAGATCACCTAGGTAGGAAGTTTGTAAACTGTTAAATAATAATGGACAGCTGTATGAAAAAACTATGACGTAATGTTTCACCCTTATGGTAGTCCATTGCCAATTCGAAAGTTGCTCCACCGGAAGCCGTAATAATGGAGATTTTGTGGTAAACCACAAGATGCTTGTGAGATAGTTCAGTGAGTCTTTCCAATCTTGTCAAGGCATTCATCCAGCTTTCTTCTTCGTTAGCTGCGGATGGTGTTCCGGTGTGAATCACTTTGACGGCTATAATAGTATCTCCCGTGTAACTTCCGCGCTTTGTTACTTTGGCTCTATAAACAACGCCGAAGGTTCCTCTTCCAATATAGTCAGCTTTGGAATATCGGTATTGCAGGTCGCTGCCGATTACTTCTGCTGCTTCCTCATTGCACGTTGTAGCGACTGCTTCGCCGCTGATGAGTACATTAACGTCATTGGGCTTTTTGCAGTTAATATTCGCCATATCTGTTGACAAATAATACGTATTATGATATTATGTTAACGGACTTTAGCATCGTACCGCTTAAAGCAGTTAATAACGTGTGGCAAACCAACGCGGTTCTCTAGGGGCTGTATGTATTTCATACAATACAGATACTGTATACAATACTGTATTTCATACAATACAGTATCTTCACTGTATACAATACAGTGAAAGCCCCTTGAGTAGGGCAGTGGGCAAACATTATTCAACAGGATTTTATTTTTCTGATTGCGGTGGCATCTAAAGGGTTTCAATAGCATTTGCAGACCGGCTGGCAATTTAGACTGCTTTCGCTGTTGTGAAATAGGTATGGGGATATTCAGCTTATCAGAGCACGCTATCGCTGGCAAGATAGTACGTGTAGCCGGCAGGAAAAAGTAACCAGGTTGATAGAGCATTATTAAAGAATCCGCTCGGCCGTTAGTTTGTTTGATCGATCAGCTTAACGTATGCAACAATCACGAGCAACCGGCGCGACCGCGCGAGGTTGTAGACAAAACGCACAAGATTGGCTGTGGCAGTAAATTATGGCCCCACGCAAAAAGTCTTCAAGGTATCGTAACAGATGATACTAGCACACTCGTTGTGGCTAAATGGATAAACCTTCGGGTTTTGAAAGATAGTCTACATCGAGCGCGGTTTGGACTTAGATGGGTGACCACTCTGAGTTCAGGCTGCGAGTGCACGGCCCGCAAGGCCTGTGTGCGAAGTGCTTGGCTGAGGCAGCAATACCACCACGGAGACGGGCACGGGAGATGGAGGATCACAATACCACCCTGGCTACTCAGTAACGGCTTGGACTGAAAGGCCTGTGATGTCCGCAGCACCAATCGTGCCAAATGGAAGGAGACAGGGAGATCAGTCGAAGCAGAGGATTGGCGCCTTCCCTAGAGATGTGCTTGCTGTCTACCTGTTTAGAATTCTCTTAGTCTGGTTCTGTTGAACGTCTTGCTCTGCCCGAGCCGGTTAGCGCCATTGCGCGTTAAAATAAAGCTGGCGCTCGCGTTTGCGAGCTGCTGCATACGATCTGTCTGTTGCAGTGTTATAGCCTCCATTGTAACTCTGCGTGAATGAATTACCGTACTTTGCACAGAATGTTCTGTCTGTCACCTGATTAATGCATTGCTGAACATGTAAACCGAGCCGTTTTCGAAACAACTACAGAGTAGCCGCATAAAGCAATCGCAAAGTACCGGCTGTGTTTTTATTTCGCCGCACTGTAGCCGCACTGTGCTTTGAAATTAGCGATAAGAAATAACGTGAAGTGGTGGCATGGTTTAACGGTGTTGTAATTCATCATGCAGCACTTGCCTGCTCGTGTTCTGCTGTCGGTTGCCATTAATTTGTTATTACATAGTTGCTAAAAATTCTCTTCTCTTGCATTTTTTTGGTTCCAGCTTTGTCGCATTCACAGTTATTCCTAAGCGAATTTATAAAAAAAGTCTCGGAATTTCTAGCAGGAAAAATCGTACCGGGAAATACGCATTTTATTCTCCAGAAGAGCCGATGATCGGCTACGTAGTGTACACAAATCGGCGGAACCGACAAAAAATGAGGAGGATCAATAGACACGGTGGGAGCAATCTGCTACCACCCAGTAACGATGTCTGGCCAATACCCAAACTGGCATTGCTGCATAAAATGGTCAGTTTTGCCGACAAGGGACAACAGTGTAAATATACTTCGGAACAACTGGAAAATGTAATCGCCAGCGCGTACTACTCTGTACGTAGGGTTGGTGGTATGTATTACCATTCTGCGAAGAATAAAATTGACAGTTCGCGAAATGTGTCCTTGTTAAAAAAATTTTTACAACTGCTGTTTACTGCATAATCAAGCGCAAAATATGCGGGCACGAAATGTATACTACATCAGTCCTGTTAGCGCCAGTTAACTACGATACGATCGACATTTGGCTGGATTGTGTATGACAAAATCAATGATCATTGCACCCTTTCACTCCGTAGACAACCTTTTGCACTTCCTTTCGTTCCGTGCACAACCTTTGGCAATACCATGCACTCGGTACACTACCAATACACGTACCTTTCACTCGGTGCAGTGTGCACTACCGAACTTTTATATATATTTATATGTATAAAAGTATACGTGATAATAATTTTTCGTAATCTGATACGTAAGTAGGTGCTTAATGCTACTGGAATGGACTCGCCCCTCAATTTCGAAGGACTATTTCGTTGTAAAAAGCTCGCGTTAATCTCCACAAGTAGGTACTTTTGCGGTGAGGTTGCGGCTGTTTACTGTGCGGCGTGTTGTTTCAAAGTTTGGTCCGCAACGCGGCACTTATGGCAAATTTCAAGTCTGGTACAGCTTGTGCCACTTTTGTAAGACGCCTTATGTGCCACAAAACAGGTTGAAGCATCGAACATAAAAAATATCTGCTGACTGGAATGTCAAAAAAGAGTAATCATACATTTTTCTCGTTAACAATGGACATGCTTTTAAAATATATTCAACAAAGTTAGCAAGAGTTTTGCAGATATTCTGTCCGCGCTCACTGGAAGCAAGCACTCTCGAATGAGATCCGCCACGTGGCTCTCGATGTCGTCACATACAAATGGAACGTAGCCTTGAACGATCAGGTCCGCGAATTGATTGTCGTTAAGATGGCTTCCAGCATTAATGATGACGCCATCCTTTATAAGGCGTTTTTCTGGTACACGTTTAGAGCATTCAGCCATGTCCAGAATTATGCATCCCAGACTCCAAATATCGGCTGCTCGCCCCGGGGCGTCTGTGTCCATTCGAGCGAATTTCTTCAGCCTCTCGGGTGACATATAGCGTGGTGTGCCGCGTAAGTGCGAGAAATCTCTGGAACTTACGGCGTCGTCCTGTATTTGCTCCAAGCCGCCCAAGTCAGCAATCATAAGGTAGTCTGCGCTGCAGCTCTCCCGCGCCTTCACCAAAATATTGGCAGGTTTTAAATCTCCGTGAGCAATTCCATTGCTGTGTAAGAATGCTAGCCCTCGATTTAAGTCTCGCGCGAGGCCGATGAAATGGTAGTAACTTAATATATGCAGATTGTCGTTTTTACTGACTTCTTTAAGAAATTTGGCAAGATCTGCTGCAAAGCACTCAGCATAATTATGCCATAATCAGGCAAGAATAAGTATATCAGTTTTCTTACTTTTATGGTAATCCATTGCCATTTCAACTATTGCTTCACTGGGCGCTTTAAAAATAGTAATTTTGTGATACGCAACAAGATTTCCGTGTGCCAGTTGTGTTAAAAGTCTCAACCTCTTGACCGCTTTCTCCCATCTCTCAATGTCGGCACGGGAATGGGAATAAAATTTAATGCACGATACTTTGACGGCTATCGTATCTCCGCCAGTATAATCCGCACGCTTTGAAACTCCAGCTTTGTAAACCGGGTTAAAGGATCCGCTTCCAATTAAGTCCCCGTTAGAATAGCGGTACCCCATATTGCTGCCAATTATTTCGACTACAGAAGATCTGTTTCCCATCGCTTTCCACAATTTGATAATAATCTAGCCGCGCAACAACAGAAGCAACGCTTTTTTCTGATGTCAGTAGTATTGAGCTTGAGTTTCTGCCTTACAGCGGAACAAACGATGCAGAGCACCTGCAAACCGGCTAGTGTCGCAGTTTCTTGTGCTATAACGGAAAGCAGAATAAACGGAAAATATTTATTTAATCATTTGTCGCGATAAGATAATGCTACAGCATTTGTTTTATTTCAACAGCCCGATTGCATGTAACAGTTGGTTGGTAAACTTCAGTGAGAACATTTATTCCCGGCTATATTAGCTATCTCATGCAATGGGCGCTTGCTCGCGCCACGCAGCAGTGCACAACAATATTCGCAATTTAATACGTACAGCCCTTCTCCGACAAGTTCGGTGCTTTTGGATAAATTACAAAATATTTTTGTAAGTCGTTTTGTTTTCCTTATCTTACTTTTCCATGCTAACGTTTTCTTGCGGATACAAAAGCACTAAAACAGTGACCTTCTGATGTACCCGTATTGAACAAAACTGTGTTTAATGGAAGGGGATTGCGGTCATTTTAATATCGCATACATCAGCACCCATAAACAATCCCGCAGCCGATGTTTTAATACCAAATTTTTCACAATCTGTTAAGAGACTCACAATGTATTTGTTACTGATTCTACGCTATCAGTTTTCGTTTCAATCTCAAAACAACAGCAGTCCCAGCTGTCATAGGCAGTGTACCTTTTATGATACTAATAGTTACTACTAAAGCTGAGTACCAATAATGCTAGTAACAACACTCCACCACACATACGAAGGGTAGCAGTTAGTAAAAATATTGTTCGAGCAGAAACAAGTTTCTGCATGAATCAGTTCTGGAAACTGCGTACACGATAAAATACCGACACGATTTATTATTATCATTACCATTACATATTTCCAGTGCTTCTCCTTTAAAGAAATTTTTCGTTACGGGCGTTTGTAGTGTAATGGCCGCATCTCAATTCCCTCTGCTGCGTAACTTTGAAGCCCGCTTTTCTAAATTTGCTATTTAAAATGGGCAAGAACTGATTGTTAAGGGTCCTAAGACCACAAACGACAAAATTGTCTCAAAAGAAAGTAAATAATAACAGTAATTCTTCGAAAAATAATTCAAGTAAATAGCAAAAATTACAAATCAAATATCACAAGCACAAAATCAATTTTGCAACAATCACCGTACTACGCAAACATTTTTATAATCGTTAAGAAAACCGCATTCCACTGTTGCGCCAGGGTTTCAAGAAATGTTTTGTGCGAGAAAAAAATATCCGACAGACATCGTAGAAAAAAACAGAGTAAAGACATCATATCTCCGGGGCGCCAAATCGATCCTGATCGGAAAAACAGCCGTGTTAACTTAAAAACGCTGTTGAACGGAGGAGATTATTAATGATCCGTCTGATCTGACACGGCACTTTCCCGGCTCAAGAGCAACATTCACCCAACACGCAGAACACACAGGCAGCATTTAATGGTAATTTGGCATTCATTTCCCCCGCGTCCCGTACTGCTGTCCCGTGTCCATGGGCTGATGAAGTACATTGAACGCAGCGCGCGTCTTCCTTGATTGCATTACATTCATCCATTGCGTACACTGTGCACACAACACACACCAAGTGTAATTGATTGCTGACGGATCAATAGCAGCAACACTGTACACTCTCCCGCTCTCCGTGTGTTTGGACAATGTACCGGGCTACAATTATCCCTAATGGAACATCGATTCACCGGCATAATAGCCCGACGACGTGCTTTGTATTGTCCGCTGCGTTCTTCCGTTTTGAAGTGCTTTATGATCCACACACTTGAAGAATACTGCCAGCGCGACAGACACTTTAACACCCATTTTTAGTTCGGGCTGCCAACGATCGTTTAATCAACAGCGCACCGGGAGGTGGGTAAAAAAAGCAGCTGACCTTTTCGTGAACCCTCTCCGTTGCTTTGACAGAAAAAGGACCTGGATTGCATTGTGTGAGAACACCGGCGGAGAAATCGATGACGTTCGTTGGGAAAGATAAACGCTGCTGTAAAAAGAGCGGAAAAATGTTTGTCTGCTGAAGAAAGAAAACTTTTTGAACGCTCTCGCTAGAAATAACAGCAACAACCTGTTGTAAGTACAACGCCTCGAGAGTTGAAAATACAAACTGCGTAACCAATTCCATGAAAATTTTGTCAGACAAAACAAAAAAGAAGCTAAATAAAACGTTGAAAAATATTCAGGAATTTTATATTTTCTTAAATTCGTTTTGTCTTTCCTAAATTTTTTAAAGAAAAATTTATTAGCACAAAAATATGTATTTTTGTTTAACAATATAATGGACGACTCAACGTTGCAATATTAAATCGTTCCATGAAAAAACATAAATCGGTTGTTCTGGGAAAAACATTCGCGGCATTACTCACGTTTTTAATTTCCTAATCGTCTCTAAACACATTGACGGTGAATAATGCCGATTTATTTTTATAAGCGCAATTTTATTTGTTTTTTCGGGTTTTATTTTTCTGTTTTAAATCCGTATTTTTCCCATCATTTTTATCAGTTCCAGGAACTATTTTCTCTTTGCACGAATTCCAGGAACTATTTCCCGCAACAGTGCCGCTCCTTATTGGAAGCAATCTAGGAGAGCGCTTGTGCGCGACGCGGCGAAACCCGGATGATTACAGTGCCGCCTGCGCTATGCTGCTCCCCCCGGGATAACGTCGGCGCTCTTTATTGCCCCCCGGGGACGCCGTCAGTGTGGCGAATTACAAATACACCCGGGCCACGGCGTATCTATATGCAGCGCATCGGAATCCGGCCGCATTGATTAGCCACACTTGGCGTGTGGAGATGGGACAATCGGGATGCTCGTTTGCCGGTTGTCCTTCTCTTCCGTGTGTGTGTATGCAACAGCAACGAGTAGAGCCCCTCCAGAAAATGGCTTTCTGGCTGTTAGGAAACAAATATGAATTTATCATTAAGCCATGCATAATTGAAACAGCACCCCGGTGGATTGCACTATTCAGGCGCTGGAGTGGCCTGGTTAGACGAAAACCGGGCGCGATTAAAGCGGTGTTCGTTGCGCCCGTAATGGAAATATTACGGTTACATAATCCTTTTTTTTTTCAAAATGCTCGCCGATCACTGTCGATTTACTTCACCAGAAGTTTTTGAAAATTTTGTTTGCTCTAACAGTTTTCCGCCGAACAGCAGCTTTTTCGAGAATTCTTTAGCGTTAACACCACGTCGCTCCATAAATGCAAAATAATTCAGGTCTAATATTTCATAAAGGTCTTCTAATACTTAATATTTCATAAAGGTCTTCTAATACTTTAAAACAGAGGTAATATAATATTTCATAAGCTTTTATACCCAAAATTTTGGCTGAATAATAAAAGTAAACATAATAATCGCAATTGTCTTTCTTTATGAAGTTCATATTTCATGATAATTATTTGAATCGCTGTTGTACAGTTAGTACGAAATTATTGTAAAGACATGTGCGTAAATTTATTTTTAAAATAATCAAAACATGCTGGCCTTTTTTGTTAGCATTTCACACGCAATATAATTTTTGTTTGCTGTACTTATTATTTTTCCCGTTTATTGCATGCATCCGTGCAAAATTAATCAAGCAAGCGTCTATATAAAAAAAAGCAAGCAGCAATATCGGCGTAATAACACTTGTACCGGGAATAACGGAAGTCCTGTACAGTGTTCCCCCGGAAGCTGAAATTGTCCATCACTAATGCAGTCTGATTACACGTCTGTCAGCCGTGAGTACACATGTACCCAGTGCGCGTATTTGGTTAACACGATGCATCCTCGTTTACCCACGGCATCAGAGCACACATACACACACAGTGCTCGCAATGTTTAATCTGCTCCCACCCGCCTGTCAATCGATCCCTGATTGCTCCCGCCCCCACACTGTACACACATCCAGGGAAGGCCGTGTTCCCTCGGCCGGCAAGCAGGGAACAGCGTGTTTCATTTGGGAGAATTGCCAGTGTTGGACGTGTGTCGATGCCCTTTGATTGCTGATTCCTGAACGGCGTTGTATCCTCGCTGAATTTTGAGTATTTCTTAGAATTCTGGGATTCCCTAGTTTACTTGTCGGCTTAATCGCGGTAACCTGAGACTGTTCAATACGTTTATCCAGTTATTTGAGGGAAAACATGGCTGCCGTGTCGGATTTCCAGAAGAAGAAGTTGCTGCACTTGTTCAACACGTTTTTCGGTGAGTGACAAATTACATCGTAAAGTTCTTAATCTTTAGTAAAATCTCCTTGCCTTAAAATTAAATTATTCATGAAGAGGATCGCTTAAAAACGTCAAATCGGTTTCTCTCGGTATTCGCACATGATGTTCTCGGAAAGGTCATGCGTACACTTTGACATAAGCGTAGTGCGGCGTTAATTATTAACGGTTTGTAGTGTCATGCTTGGACATTTTTCTGTCATATTATTCGCGTGAAGTGGGTTAACTGCCAGCGCAGCGGGGAGCCGCTGCAATTGAGAAGCGAAACAATATGTGTAATTAATAAATGCACTGATGCTGTCAACTTGATTGAATACGCTGTACCCATGCCGTAATGTCACTCAGCAGTCTGCAAAGAGGTAGACACTCTACAGTTTAAATTGCTCTACATCATTGACACACTTACCGAAAATTCTGTCAGCTTTCTCTGTATTTGCTTCTGAAATTAAGGAAAGTTAACCGTACAGCGATACACAAAAATCAGGCGAAGAAAAAAATGTCCTTTTACGGGGAAAAGCGAGGCGTGCAGGAAGAAATGAATGTAGCCGAATGGAATAGCGGATGAGCTAATGAAGCATACAATCAGCGGTTGTTTTGTGGAAAAGCACTTGAGCATATTACACACGCTATTTGCTTTTTATGTACAGCGATGAATATTGATCAGAGTGTCTTTACTCGAGATAAATACAGTCTACTTACGAGATCCATAGTCCATACAGGTTATAATAATAACCGTATTGACCGGCGCAGATTAATCGTCTGCTATCGTGTGTGGATCTGTACGCGTCGTTGACCGGGAATTACATAATCTCGCGGATTCACGCCGATAACTACAATTTCAGCCTTGATTGTGCGATAATTATTCCTCGTTTCTTCGGCTTGGGTTAGAGAAATTGAGCACAGAAGAAACGGTGTCTAATTTTGCCGGTAATTGTTTAGATTGCAATAAGAACGGGACGATCGAGCGGAAGGACTTTGACATGGCACTGGAGCGCGTGGCTAGTCTGCGCCAGGTCAGCCAGGGCAGCGGCAAGTACCGCGAGGTGGAGGAATCGCTGAACTACGTCTGGGAGCACCTGAAGAAGGTGGCCGACCGCGACAACGACGGCAACGTCTCGCAGCAGGAGTGGCTCAAGATGTGGGAGGAGGCCATCACCAGCCAACAGGAGCCGCAGTGGGTAAGTCTGGCATGCCTTTTAATTTTAATGCATTTTGTAAATATGGTGGTAAACCGGTTTTATAGCCTTGTGTATAACACATAGGCTACAGTAGAATTTTTCTGATGCGAATGTAGGACTAGGGAGCATGTAAAAAAATGCGGCGAGCGCCGGAATGATGTAATACTGTAGGTAATTCCATTTCGGTTGCAACCTAACTTCGTAGTTTAACGTAGTTGGCAGAGCAGAATGACGTAGCTCAACTGTAGAGAGTATCAGGCATCTTCCGGCGGCGTCAAGTACGTTGGACGTACTTGTGTATTGTGGGTGTACACACAGTTGCATTTGCCCGGGTATAGGGATTCAGTTGATTGCGTAAGTGAAAGGCCAATAACAATGGCCCTTTCTTCAGCTTTTCTCTTAAGCACCACCTGACCTACGTGTACCTGAACGAGTTGCGAAGGATGACTTTCATAAGGGAAGATTAATAAAAATGGCTACAGGAAACATGCAATTGCTTTATCGACTGTATGACGTTGCCTGCACTGCGATCGGCTGCGAGCAGGTGTTGTGAGACATACTCACATGTGAGTTCCCGGATCTGCCGCCGGGTGTCTGTGCTAGTGAAAACGAACTTGATACTATGAAGAAACAAAGATCAATAAAGATTAGAAAGTTAACAGATCATCATTCTCAGTCTCAGTTTTCGGACACACTGCTGAAGCAAATGCAGTATCGTAACATGCAGGAAACTCAGATCCTCAGGAAAAGCGACTGTGTCCAAAGCAGTATGCATCTGTTATGATCTGTAATGGTTAAAGTTTATGACAAACTAAGGTGCGAGCGGATTTATGTAATACAAATGGATGGCATTGCAGGTCAAACGCTACCAGGATTTTCTCTTCGAAGTGGAGGACGTCAGCGGTGATGGTAAAGTGGACGAGAAGGAGTTCGTGGCAGCATACACGCAGTTCGGCATCGGCCAGGACGAATGCCGCGGGGCCTTCAAAAAACTGACCAACGTATGCAGAATATTGCTAATTATTTTGAATTTCGTTTCCTTTCATTTGTGTACCGTTTATCGAAAATATTATGTGTTGTCTGCTGCAGGGAACCGGTGGAGAAATCAGCAAAGCCGATTTTGAGAAGCGCTTCCGCGAATTCATCCTGTAAGTGAATAAATAATCCAACTGACTCGGACCGAGTACCAAAAAATACCATCTCAAGATTTTACGTTTTGACTATATTGCTCATAAAATATTGGTTTTGCATTAGCAGTTTTGGGAATTTTCAAAAACTGGACAGATTTATCGTGTGTTACTTTCTTTTCAGTATAATTTGTATTCCATGTAAGTGGCTTTAGGTTTGCCCCAATACGCATGCGCCACTGAAGTACGATATTGCACATTTGCAAGCTGATATCCTACACAGATCGCTTTGTTGCAAACGCACATTTTTTAATCGAAGCCGCTTCTGTTCTGCAATAGATAGCCTTGCCGGTGCAGCATAAGTCACGGCATAAATTACTTTCCTTTTTGACAGGTCGAATGAGCCGTCCGCGCCCGGCAACTATTTACTGGGAAAATCCACTTTCTAAATAAACAACCGTCATCCAAGCTAACTAACGCCATTAAAGAAGACCGCCACCGGCAATTCAATAACCTCCGTTCTCTGTTCTGTTTTGTCGATTTCTCACAGTACCCGTCAGCGTTTGTGAATCCGTGGATTATAATGTGTTCAAAGTTCAAAGTAACTTTCTTCTTGTGAAATGCACGCGTGCTTTACTTTCGCCAACCAGTTTTGCGGTTTTATGTCGAATACAGGCATACAAGCCATTGCACTGTTGCACAGTACTCTAGTAAAACGGGAAATTAAGACGCTTACAAGCATATATTGAATTATGTGATGCGAACTATCGTTAATGTATGGTGTTTTCAAATTAGTGAAATTACATAACACCTGTCACGAGAACGCAAACAGCAAGGTATCTGTGCTGTACAAATAATTCTTATCGCAAATTTCAGTGTGCACAACAGTGAGAGTAGTTTACATAAACATTACTATCTGTACTCACTTTTAACTTTGTGTAGAATTTTCGAAGCCGCCGACGCCATTCATTATGCTCAGCAACGTTTACTGAACGGATTTCACAATACATGCAGTTATGGTTACGTGACTGCGGTTATTCGGTTGTGTTATCTTGTCACGATAGCGTTATTTCATAAGCTGCATTATGGTTTCATAGAATTGTTGCTTTAAAAATGCCGATAGCACAGTATATTTAGGCTAGCTGACCAATTTAGCGGCTTTTACTGTTGGGTTGGAAGATAAAAAGCAGTATGAACGGAGCAATGAACGTCGGGCACCATTGCCGAAGGGATTCGTGTTGCGTTAAGCGGCCAGTTAATTTAGCTTACTATGAATCTGCTAAAGAAAATTGCGAGGAAGAACGTGTCCAAAAATGACACCGCAGGAATTGCCACTCAAGACAGTTTCGAAATAGTTGGCTATGAGGACGCAAAGGAGAGAATTTACGATGACGATACAGCGGAAACCATTGACAATGGCGACGCAGCCGAAATCACGGGAAGAAATATGCAGTACCGGTACTCACACACGGACTACATTGGACGCGGATCGTTTGGCGTTGTTTATAAAGCCAAAGTAACAAAACGCGGCAGTTACACGGGAGAGCAGGCCATCGCTGTCAAAGTGATACACGCTCAATACACAGATCACTCTTCGGATGCTGAGGAAAAAGAAAGCTGGACGAATGCCCTGGCAAGATTGAGGCGGCTCACTGAACTATCTCACAAGCATCTCGTGGTTTATCACAAAGTCTCCATTACCCCTGCTTCCGGTGGAGTCACCGTCGAGCTGGTAATGGATTACTACAAAGGTGAGGCAACTGTAATATCCGTGGATATCCGTGGAAAAATTAGAAGTTTACATGTACTGTAGTACAGCGCAGTACGGGTTTTATCAGTAATTTTATTCTGATTTTGCGGGCATTGCAGCAGGCGCAAATTCTTCCAGTTGTCGAGTACCACAGCAAATGGCGCCCGCGGGCGGTGGGCCGTGCCTGTTGTGTCAAAGTGCCAAAATAAAATTACGAAAAAACCTCTACTGCGCTTAGGCGCTACCCTATAGTTTTCATGTTTTCGAAAGTTTTGAGAAGGAGCGCATAAAGGGTTGAAGCGTTTGTTTTGGGTTACCTCCTATACGGTACATCAAAGTTCTGTGTGTCCGTAAAATTTTTACATCAAACTTTTTAGGGGACCTTGCTTCGCTCCTGAAGGAAACAAAAAGCAATGAAGACAAGCGAATCAACTTTACTTATAGACAAGTCATCAAATTCACGATACATATAGTTCGTGGACTGGAGTTTTGCATCATAATAACATAATCCATGGAGATTTAATGCCCGGGAACATCCTTGTAAAAACTGGTGAAGATGACCGCGAAAAACTGGTGATCGGCGATATAGACGATTTAGTTGAAATGCGTCAAAGCCACACTTGTTCCAGCGATGCATCGCATGTCCATGGTACGACGCGGTATATGTCACCAGAAATGCTGAAAAAATTATTCCGTATAGCGCTAGAACTGCCGGCAGGAAGAAAAACGGACATCTGGAGTTTGGGCTGCATAATTCTGGAGATGGCCGAATGTTTGATAAGTATGCCTAAAAAGCGCCTCGCACTGGACGGGAAAATTGTGGATGTTGAAACCAATATGAATGATACTCAGTACGCCCATCTGATTATCGACGGTTATGTGCCGTTGGTGGATGGCGCCATTGCGGAAAACTTGGCGCCGGTCATCCAGCACTGCTTGCGACGAGACGTTACGAAACGACTATGCGCAGACGCACTGCTACGTATTTTCAAGATACAGAAGAGACGTGTTATAGTATTTTATCCTCACCCCGGTCATCACATCGATCATGTGCTGATATTTGATCCATCCACTAATTCCTTTATTAATCAAGAAGTGTCCGGATCACCTTCAGCCGTATGGGGACCATATGCCGTGTTAGCCGGTCCAAAATCAGAAGTGATATTCGTTCAGCGAGTAAAAACTCATGCGGGTGGTGTAAATAACGTGTTCCACTTCTGGAACCTGGTGGAAGGGAGATGGCGTGAGATTGCGCCTTCCAGGTCCCCATTATTCAAAGAAGCGATTGCAGTGAAGCGCCGGGTCTACCTTTGGAACAAAATGAAATTCTTTGTGGAAATGAACGCGTTTTCCGGAAGGATTGTCTCGCTGAACACACCTAGGAAAACTTATCGGTATAGCAGAAAGCGCATTTTTCATTTAGCAAATATACGGCTTTATACGACTTAAAGGGAGCTTTTCAGTTGGAGTCATGAGGCGCCAAGTGCAGTGGCAAAATGTGGCAACCACATTTTCTATACCACATGGGACTGTTTGCTGCGATATGACACAGAGAACCACGATTGGAGGTCCCTGCCAAATTTGCCGGAGATGCGATGGGACTTTGCAGTGGCGGTCGTCAAAGGATACATGTACGTTATCGGCGGGAAGGTACCTAACTCTGTAGGCGGCGATGCCGAGCGTGTTGCAACTGCTGACTGCGTTCGTCTGAACCTGGATGCTCCTGATCCTGTTTGGGAAAATGTACAGCCGCTTGCGCAACCCAGATACTGGCATGCAGCTTGCGTTGTCCAAGATCGCATATACGTCTGCGGCGGCAGACATGCTGCAGAGCAGCACGCGCTGGCAATAGAGTTTTACGACACCAAAAGCGACGAAGGATGGGCGACGGTCACCTTGCCGGAGAAGGATATCCAGCTGCTATCAAATTTCGCCGCAGTTATTAAACCGGGTGATCCGTGGTATGGATTATTATTTGCGCTGACCGTTGATATGGAAAGTGACATTGTGATAGACCTTCCTGATTCTGATTAAACCACGTCTGCGATTAGGCAGTCAGTGTATTTTCAGAAACCAACAAAGACTGCTGTTTTGTTAAAAAGCTGAGAAAAGTGTATTTATAATCGTCTCACAACAGAATTGTTTACACAGGAACTTCTAACCGAAATTATGTAGTTTGGCAGTAGGAAAAACCGGAACGGTAATGGCAATGGGCTGCAACCTTGCGCTGCGTACTAATTGCCATGAAAAGCAGTCTAGCTATCTCATCGGTTTGCCGTCCGTGCATAGATGTTATAGCAGTTTCATCTGTCAGCTAGACTTTCGTTTTTCCACCCGCGTGGTATCACGTCTGTGGGCCGTGGCTACGCTGATAGTGCATATAGGTATATATATTTTGTTTTGTTATCCTGGCAGTGGGTAGTGTCACGTATTCATAAAATACCTTTTTTCGATAGCTCTGCGCATCTCATACTGACAGCTTTTTAAGCTGCCATTCATAATAATCATATACGTTGCTATGTCACATCATCACAACTTCACAAGCAGCTTAACTACTGTAAATTTAATCTGAATCAAAAAGCAATTTTGAATGGCCAGCGTTTAAATCTTCTGGACACTATGCAGCAAAATGAAGTGCTGCGTATATTGAGAAGAACGCGGCTCTGACTTTGCAGTCATGGCGTTCAAAAATTTGCGACAACAAAGCAATTATGTACGTAATCATAATGGCAGCATAATGCTTAGCGCTAACGATTTTTTTTTCGATTTTGATAGTTTGTTTTTGTAAGATCTGTATGTGCTGCAACTGTATGTTGTATCGAAGACGCCTTTATTGACTGTTCAGGATCGTAGCGAGATAAACTGGAAATGGAAAGAATTTGTAGTGTATGTAAGCAGGGGCTTTTTTAGACAACACCCCACACGCCAATCGGTTTTGAATAAACCGATTGCAGATTCGGAATCGGCGCATTTTTTCGATCTGGAAAAACTATCCCACCTTGAAAAATAAAATGTCGCCCCTGAGGGGTCCAGCGCCCCACACGATACCGCCACCTCCGGCGGTCGCAATAGCGCCCCAGGGGGAAATGCTGTTTTTCGGGTTTCAACCACTGATTCTAGTCAAACGAGGTGCGCTGATTCAGAATCCACCATCAGAAAAATTGTAGAACAACTCGTTTACCAGATTTCCAAGTTTTTGAGGCAGGTCTAAACCTGGTGTGTCGAGGTCCCGGAACTTGGGACTGAGTGGCTCTATGGGGCGCTGGTCGGTACCGTGTGGGGCGCTGGACCCCTCAGGGGCGACATTTTGTTTTTCAAGGTGGGATAGTCTTTCCAGATCGAAAAAATTCGCTGATTCCGAATCTGCAATCGGTTTATTCAAAAAACCGATTGGCGTGTGGGGTGTTGTCTAAAAAAGCCCCTGTATGTAAGTACTCGTACATAGGTTGTACGAGTATCTCATGAAATGGATTATGACCTATGGCTAATGTGTCGTAGCAACGGTATTGCTGTTGTCCGTTATTGCTGTCATGTCTAGAGTTTAGTTGGTTGTTTGCTGCTGTCCCGAGCGGACATAATAAAAGATTATGCCGTTCGTTCAATTCATTACAGAAGTGTAGGTAGAGAAACAGGATCGAAACAGCAGAAGTTGCTATGAAGAGACAAAGCATCAGAGAAGCAGAAAAAAGCAGAAAGGACAGAACTCGGGACCCCGTGAATACACCACAATTTTGTTTAGTAAGCTGGAATCATTATAGTACTAACAATGCCACGCAAATAAAACGTTCTGTTGCGTCGATGGCTGTTGCAAGATAAACATTTAACAATGACAATAATCTGTCGATGCAGCGAAAAGCAAAGCAGAACAGTAGTTCCAGGAAGAAGATTAGCACTGTACACGTATGGTCTCCGTTCCGATTACTTCGTAAAAAGCATAACTGCATCCACCACCGCAGGCCTCATTGCAGCATCGGACATTCGGTCGCTCACGACAAATCTTTGTACTACAAGGTCCGACGGGACAGAAAAAATTAAAATTGGCGCATTTAATCCAGGGACAGGGACCCAACGGTTCGGGCCGTTGGTTCTGCCGCTTGAAGCGGTTGTTGTCTGCATTCAAAGTAACGGAAGGAAATTATAGCTACTCCATCTAAGTCAATTACGAGCTGAAATTGTTACTTAATTGAAAACCAACCGAAAAAGCTTGAGCACTTACTTCTGAAAACTAGAACGCTTTGCTTATAGTGGAATTACAGTAGTAACAACATCAACAGTGAAGTCAACCACGAAATATAATTATTTTATAATTTAGTTTTTTACTAATTTGAATGTGGAAAGCATCTGTGATTTTTTATGCCAGAACTACAGACAAAAGCAATGAAAATCTGAAAGCAATGCAACCTTATTAAACGGCTTATCTTACGTTCGGCGCTGGCGGCAGATGTGAGTTGTACGGAAACGACGAGTAAACTGAACGCCACTGTTAAATACATTTTGGGATGCTAAACCACGGATTATTCTGGCATAAAAAAATTGCGCAACGTAGATTAGCAACCGTAAATAATGTGCCTTATTTACCGCGGCAGCTTGTTTTTATATCGTTAGAGACACAAACGGCAGGCTGCACCGACGCGTGCTACAATGTGCGGCGTTGTTATTTTCCGGGTGACAATCGCAGACAATGTGCGTAATAAGCAGTTTCATGGGCATAACGGAACCACAAAATCTGCTTAGCTCGCTCCCTAGATCCGCTTTCGACATGTTTTACCTGTATGTGGCATAAATAATAAATATTTTCGCCATCGCTAAACAAACTTTTGCAGGTATTAAGACAGCGCACCGCTTCGACCGTGCCTCGTTTACTTCTGTCGACGAACGATAAGAATTATTGTTTTATCAGCTTTGAACAGCACCATACTCTTTCGTAGGTTAATGCGTCAATCTATGAATAACGCCACATTAAACCTAACATAGGTAATTTACAAATTAGACAATTTGGGCAAAGTGCGGCAGTAGCAATACGAATGGCTATAGCCATAGCCGTCTCGTAGACGGACCACGGGACGGCTATTGCTACAGTCATTAGTATTGCTACTGCCGCATTTTGCCCAAATTACGAAGAGTCAGACATCTTTCTCTGTTGGCTGGTATACGGCCAGTGCAGCGCACTATGGTGCATAAGTTATGATTCATAGAGATAAGGACGGGTATGTTAGAAAACGGAGCTGTGCAGCGCGGTATCTTGAATACGTGCGGTATTGTTGTTTTGACCATTCGGAGCGCAGATAAGCTCCGGATCGTGATGACACACATTACCCGTCGTTATCTTCTGCGCATAATGCACAAAAAACCTATACAGGCGTTGGAAGATACCCGAATGTCTGAATCTGAGCATTGTCTATTAAATAGTGTTTTTCCGTACTCGTACTAATTTTACCATACGTTTTTTTGCACTTGGCTACTTTCTGTCTTCTGACTTATGCACTATATAATTAAGAATCAAAACCACCGCCCGACGCCCAGCCGCGCCCCGGCCTGGGCCACCATTGAAAATTGCAAAAATTTGTCGTGTCAGTATTTCTAGTAATATTCAGTATTACTCGTAATAACTTGTGTCAATAAGCAATGGTCAAGTTGTGTATTTCACATTTGCACTTCTGCGTTTACTGTTTAATTTTTGTAAATGAACCGTAAAATTACCCTAAACTGAAACGAATCTATCATTTAGCTAACGAATTTGGCATCGTTTTCGGCAGTTTCCGGTAGTGCCCTGCAACGGCGTACAAAATTGCGTCCAGTCCGATCCAAACTTAAAAAATTTTATCCGAACCCAGTCCGACTCCGAATTCTAAAATCGTACTCCGACCAATCCGATCCGAAAATATTTTTGGCCAATCCGAACCCACTCCGATCCGATCCGAAAAATTTTCCAAAAGAATATTGCTTAATTTTATCACACATCCCCACATTAAAAAAAATTTTAATGCCGAAGTACCGTAACATGGCATTCAAAAAAATTTTAGCCATGTTGTCGGTAGCCAAAAGACTTCAGAATTCACAGGTACAAGTTTCCTGGGCATAATAAAGGTTGAGCTAGAGGATTTACATATACAGAATTTTTTAGGTGAATTTGGATTTTTAGCACTACAGTGTTGAAGCAATTGGAGAGGCTAGTTATCTATCCTCACTGTTAGAATATCTATCCTTACTGTCAGAAATCTGTATCAGATCTTTTTGTTGTATACGGTTCAGGCCACGGATTACCCACGTATTAGCCATGTTCAAAAATAGGGACAGAAATTTAGAGGAGGGATGCTTTTAAACGTCCGGAACTAAAATAAATGGTAGTTTCGTGCATTCCTTAGTGTAAGTTGATATTATTATATATTATTATATATAATAATAGTATATATAATTAGAATATAATATTATTGTTATCTTAATCTCCAGTTTTTAATCCAATTACAAGTGCTGCAAATAAAAATGGGAAGCCGGTGCCTTGTGAAACTGACTGAGCTGCACAACACATGTGGTCCGTTTAAACTTTAACCGTACTGTAGTAGTTATACTAAAATTATTTGATAAGACAATAACAAATAACGACATCATAACAATCGTAAAACACTCTAAATATTAAAAAGTGTCAGGAGAATTAACAAAAGAAAGTGAAAGAGAATTAACAAGAGTCAACTAAACAAAAGCAGGTACTTCGGTGCAAATTAATTAGGCGCAAATGGAAGCATCGCGCGAAGCTGACGAAAATTTTTGTTGTGAAGGCCGGTGAAATTCAATAAAAATTAATTAATAAAATTTATTTAATTACGGATTATTCGGAGCCTTGATTGCATCCGAACCCGATCCGATCAGGTGCACATAAACTCCGAAACCACTCCGACTCCGAAATTTCCAGATTGAAATTTGTCCAATCCGGTCCGAAAATCGGAGTGGGTTCGGAGTGGATCGGATTTCCCAGTCCGTTGCAGGGCTCTAGTTTCCGGTACGATCGCCGGGCCTCGACGAGCCCCTCAAGGCGGCAGTTACGGTTTTTCAAGCTTTGCTTCTGGCCTGTTGCCGAATAAGTACATACATATTATTCTGTATTCTGTGATTCCGTACAGACTTCTGAGACTTGCTCACTTGCAGGCAGACTTGCATTTCCCAATCTTCTGCATCTAGGATCTTCTTTCAAGTTGCTTTTTGAAGGGTTTTGGTGCGAGTTCGTAATCACAAACACTGCAGAGACATTTTTTGATCGTCCAGTGAACGCTGTCCACTGTATCACCATGTCAAAGCCTGTTCGTTCTGCAGATCCGCCTCCTCACAGGCATGGTTGTTTGGCCGAGGAATTCCTGCGCGGACTGCATGAACTGCAGTCATCAGGACCCCTGTGTGATGTCGTGCTGAAGGGTAGCGAAGAAACGGCGCTGGGCATCCCCTGTCATCGCAACGTCCTCACCGTCCACAGCGGATACTTTCGCTCGCTCTTCACGCACGAATGGAAGGAGACATCGCAGCGCGATCTGCAGCTGGAGAACATCGACAGTCCCACACTGAACGAGTAAGTATTTGGCCTTTGGGCGTGGCCACAAATCGCTAAGCTCGTTACGCCGATGATAAATCGTAATGGCTTACTGTATGTTGCGTTATAAGCGTTTCCCAGTGTCAACTGTAAACTACTGATCACATTCATTCTTGGTCCGCCGTGTAGACTCGTGCAGTTCGCCTACACGCTGGATCTGCGCATTAGTGAGGAGAACGTGGAGTCTCTCTTGGTTGCGGCGCAATTTCTGCAGATGGACGCCGTGGCGGGGAGGTGCTGGGAGTACTTGGAGGCGCGGCTGAGCTTGTCCACCTGCGTGGCCGTCCACGCTCTGGCGGCGCAGCACCACCATCCCCGCCTGCTCGACGCCTCCCTGGCCATTATTTATCCAAACTTTTTGTCTCTGACGCAGAGCGAGGACTTCCTGCAGATGGAGGCGGAACAGGTACACTGATTAGGCTTCACAGTAATTACTGTGTTTATTACGTATTGCGGGACTTATTAGGCAATACAGTAATTACTGTATCAAGGAACTAGATCTATAATATTACTACAAAAAAAAAGCTGAGACATCGAGATCGGAAAAACCAGAACCTAATAAAAAAACTGTAAACGCTATTAGATTCAGCATGTTCAGAAACTGTTTATTTTTTATTTACAAGCCTGTCGACAAATCGAGCATTCCTCAGAACACAACTTCGCGCTAATATCGCTTTACCAGTTTACCTGTTCCTTTTAGAGCCCTGCACCGGACTGGTAAATCCGAACCGCTCCGAATCCACTCCGATTTTCAGATCGGATTGGACGGATTCTAGTCTCGAAAATTCGGACTCGGAGTGGTTTCGGAGTTTATGTGCATCTGACCGGATCGGATTCGGATGCAATCAAGACTCCGAATTATCCGTAATAAATAATTATTATTAATTAATTTTGATTGAATTTCGCGCACCTTGCAAACAAAAAACTTCGTCAGCTTCGCGCTTCGCGCGAGGCTTCATTTGCGTTAACATACTCAATGCCAAAGTAGTACTTCGTCAGCTTCGCGCGAGGCTTCATTTGCGTTAATCTACTCAATGCCAAAGTATCTATTTCGCTTTCTTTTGCTAATTTCCTTGACAATTTTTAAAATTAGAGTGTATTATGATTGCTGTGGTAGTATTAGTCGTTATGGTTCTACAGTTCTACTAAATACTTTTTGTATATTTACCTCAATTACGCTCTTCAACATTTACTTCAATTACGCTCTTGGTTTCACGGCTCAGACAATTTAACTGGGCACCGGCTTTCCATTTCTTATAGTTGTAGCACTTGTAATTCGATTAATACCGGTGATAACGGTAATAATAATATTATATTTATATGTTAAACTAAGTCTAAATAACAGGTTTGAATACATGAAACTACCGTTTTTTACAGTTGCGGACGATTAAAAGTATCCCTTCCTCGTTTTGACCTTGGCCTCTATATAGGTGATCCGGGGGTAGAATCGTACACAATAAAAAGATTTGATTCAGATTTCTGACAGTAAGAACAGGCAACTAACTTCCCAAAATCTTACTACACTGTAGTGCATAGAAAAACTTTAAATTTAAAAAGAAGTTCTTTTACAAAACCTCTAAAGTAACATATTTTACGCCCAAGGAAAGACCAACTGTAAAGGTTGTCTTTTTACTATCGTCAAAATGGCTAACAAATTTTTTTAATATTCTGTAAAGTTAAGATGTGTACTGTAATAAATATTTTTTGGGAAAAAATTTTTCGGAGCGGATCGGAGTGGGTTCGGAGTGGCCAAAAAATTTACGGATCGGATTGGTCGGAGTAAGATTTCTACAATTCGGAGTCGGACTGGGTTCGGATAAATTTTTTAAAGTTTGGACCGGACTGGACGAAGTTTTCTAGTCCGTTGCAGGGCACTAGTTCCTTTACATGCTCAATTAGTCGACAAGCTTGTACATGTGATTGTGTAGATTACAGTCAGGCTCACTGAACACTGTGTCGACTATCATGTGTACCGACCGCCACCAGGGCGGCTGCAAAGAAGAACGTAAGCTGTTCAGGAAAGGCAAAGAAACTAGGCGGTCGACGAATTTATGTGAATGGCGGGTCAGCATAGTGACTGTAACATCCGTGTGTATGTTGCAGCTCACTGCGCTGATTGGGTCGGACGATGTGGAGGTGTACTGTGAGGATAAAGTGTGGGAGGCGGTGCGGCGCTGGCTGGATTACGACCGTCCCAGACGGCTGCTGCACGTGTCCGCGGTCTTGCAGAGTGTCCGCGCGGCCTTTTTGAGTGAGAAGTGCCGACTGCAGTACGCGGCGGCCTTGGCCAGTGCGACAACGGGGATAGCCGGTGGGACTGCGCAAAACACCACCCCGCGGCATGCATTCGGTTAGTGTGAGATAATCCCTGTACAGTGGCAATTACCATTCGTATTTTGTGGGTTCGCAAATTTACGGATGATATCTCGAAGTAAAGTGATTGTTGTTCATGTTGTCGCTTGCATCCATTAATCGTGTTGTGATTAATCGGAGAGTGATTGTTGTTCATGTTGTCGCTTGCACGTCTCATGCAGTTTATCGCGGACAATGAGAATCCATTGATCGTGTTGTGTTGGTGGTAGGGGCGCAGGAAGTGCTCGTCTGCGTGGAGAACTGGGAAGACAATTGGGAGGCTAGTGCGGTGCAGGTCTTCAGTCCGTCGATCCCGGCAGTGTGGCGCCTGACCGATCAGCCGCCGCTCGGTGAGTATCCCAACGTCGCGATGCTGGACGATGGCCGGATGATGTTGATCTCCATACAAGGAGTGGAAGCGGTCCAGCGCGACCACAGCTACACGCGCCTGAGCGGACCACCGATGGCACTGGCCGCCATGCAGACAGTGCGCAGCAGCGAAGCTGCGGCTGTCCTTGATGGTCGCGTTTTCGTGGCCGGTGGCTATGGGCAAATGCCAGTTCCGGTGCCAGTACTGTCGTCCGTCGAAGCATATGTCCCGAAGAGTAATTCATGGAGTGCGGTGGCCCCACTACCCGTCGGTCTGATGAATTTGGTGATGGTGGCGTATGGCGGGCTGTTGTATGCGTTCGGTGGAGAAACGGAAGATGGACACGTTAGCAATGGTGCCTTTGCCTACGATCCAGCCGCCAACGCCTGGAGCCGGTTGCACGACATGCCCAGCGCCCGCTACAATTGCGCTGCGTGTGTGGCGCCCGACGGACTGATTTACGTAGTGGGTATGAGTATGACTGTGTCGGTATGAGTGCTATGGACAAGAGTGCCTACAGCATAGTCATAGGAAAATGGCCCGGTACATAGCGTCCAAAATGGTATACATACACTAATACTTTCGCTTGCGCGCACTCCGAATTACTTTTTTGTAATACTTTATGTCTTTGCAAAGCTAAATGATTTGTTTGCATTGTTCTGAAAACCGTTTGCGCGCGCAACATCCGGTTACCGAGATATGGCGAAACAAAATGGACAAAAAGTTTAAATGCATTGTCGTGTACCAAAAGTCTGGTTATTACCCGATCTTCAATTGAAACTTTGCTGTAAAAGACACATCACCATAAGGTCGAAAGTGAACCATTTTCAGGTTCTTAACGCTTACCCATAATTTTAAAAGAAATTTTGAAATTTTTGAAATTCATTTTAAAATCGGAAAAAAATGCTGTGATTCTGATATTGGTTCACTTTCGACTTTACGGCCATGTGTCTTTTACAGCAAAGTTTCAAAAAGATCGGGTAATAACCAGACTTTTGGTGCACGACAATGCATTTAAACTTTTTGCCCTCTTTGTATGTCGGCAACCGGATGTTGCGCGCGCAAACGGTTTTCAGAACAATGTAAACAAATCATTTAGCTTTGCAAAGACATAAAGTATTACAAAAATAATTCGGAGTGCGCGCAAGCGAAAGTTTTAGTGTACGTATACCATTTTGGGCCCTATGTACCGGGCCGTTTTCCTTAATTCTGGCGGTGCATTGCGCAGGGGTAAGCACGGAAGGCCTGGAAGCTGGTGGAATGGAAGGCTGTGTGCGCGTGGAGGCCTACAATCCCGCCACCAGTCAATGGCTGAAAAAAGGTAGGAGCTTAGTATCTTAGGCCTCGTCCCGAATTCAAAGCGAATCTCGTTGAGATACAGCAACTCCACCTCGCGAGGTGGCTTCGCGTACCGTATCTGTAGGCGTGGCCACTGCATACAGCCACCTCGTGCGGTTGAGCAACCGTACCATAACGAGATTCGCTTCGAATTCGGGACGAGGCCTTAGTTGTACTGTACCAGAACCGACTCTGCACGCGTGACGCCGAGAGCTGGACTGTCACACTGTCATAGACCAGACGCTACAAGCCCAGTTATCTATTTCTGCGTAAAAATACAGCGGCTAGAAATACAAATTCATGGGTTACGCTACGCTCCATACCAAGGCCCGCTACCCTACACTCTGCACGCGTTACATACAACTATTAGCAAGCGAACTTGGAAAAACCTTTCATTTTGACTTGCAGTTCCGCAGCTGCCGAAAAAAAATGCATTTTCAAGGCATAAAACTGCAGGTCAAAATGTTACCGCGCCCAAGCGTGGTTGGCCATACTGCCCAGATGTTGAACCGTATTGTATAGGGTGCCCATGCGTCGGATTTTTCGACATCACACAGTTTGTGTTTTCTTGGTGCCGTAATTGGATGTACTTACGGCTAGGCTACGTCAGCCGTCATGTGACTATCTTGGCTCTCACTTGTCAAGCCCGGTGAAGTCCGGTCTTGGCTCGTTTGCAGCTCATTAAGCCGACGACTGCACATGGGCATGGTAATGGGAATGACGGTTCTTAATTGCGCTTGTTGTTTTTGGCATCGACAGGCGATCTGGTCCATCCGCGCAATGAGCCAGCCTGTGCGTGTCTGCAGGGGAAGTTGTACGTCCTGGGTGGGAACGCTTCGTGGGATCGCCGAATCCGCGATGCTGACGACGCCAGCATCGAAGTGTACGACCCCGATGCGGACCGCTGGCAGCTGCATGAGTGCCGACTTTCGGAAGACATCGTGGGCGGAAGCTCTGTCAAGATGAAACTGAAGCGGGCTTGACGCTACACTGCTTCCTGTGGGGCCCGCGAATGAGATGAGTGTGTGCGTGTGGGTGTGGAACACGAGCCGGGGAAGGAGATACAGTCAATACGAAAAGTCAGATATCTTTCTCTGTCGACTGTTATACGGCCAGTGCAGCGCTCTATGGTGCATAAGTTACAATTCATAGAGATAAGAACGGGTATGTTAAAAAACGGAGCTGTGCAGCGCGGTATCTTGAATACTTGCGGTATAGTTGATTAAACTTGTTTTGACCATTCGGAGCGTAGATAAGATTCCGGATCGTGATGACACACGCTACCAGTCGTTATCTACTGCGCATAATGCACAAAAAAGTGACAAAACCTACATAGACGTTGGACGATACCCGAATGTCTGTGTCTGAGCAATGACATGAACTGATCTATTCGTTCTTCTCCCGTGTTGGTGACATTTTCTACTCGGTGTAGTGCATCCACAACTTCTCGCTTTAAATTTATGTTCTTTTTTTTATAAATTTGACGTGAAACATTATGTGGGGAAGATGAATTACAGTAATAATGTAATGTTGGTGACATTATGGGTGAGCCTCAGAGATTCCAACTGAAGTGTTTGTGCTGGTTTTCACGCACAGCTACAGTATTTCATAATATCTGCATACATTTGGGAACTGTTTCCGGCATTCTGTCATCTGAAAACTTTCGTCACTTGTCAGGCATCATTAGAAAATCAATACATTACCGTTAACCACCGTTATAAAACTGAAGCTTTCCTTACCGGTTAGTTGCTCCACTTTTAGTTCAATATTTTCTGCTAGCAGTCATGGCGAATATTAGTCCCAGAATGGACTATCACGTTAAATCAATTATCAGCGGCGACGTAATCAAAAGAAATCATGACGAAAATGGTGCCGAAGTCATCGGCAGCAGTCTGCAGTATCAGTATTCCCATGCAGACTATATTGGAAAAGGATCATTTGGAGTTGTTTACAAAGCCAGGATAACGAAACGTGGCAGCTACACGGGAGAAAATGTGGTAGCGGTCAAAGTGATGCATACCGCACCTCACTCCCAGCCGGCTGATAAGGACGAAACCTGGATGAAAGCCTTAGCAAGATTGAGAAAACTCACTCAACTATCTCATAAGCATCTCGTGCTTTACCATAAAGTGTCCATCTTTAGAGCTTCCGGAGGAGCGACCGTCGAGCTCGCCATGGATTATCACAATGGTGAAATTTCAGTTTTGTGGTGCTGCATTCAAGTAATGGGCTTATCCGCTATACTGTTGTTTATTGCAACCCACCATTTGCTTTAGGTGACCTTGCTTCTTTTCTTGGAGAAGTGAAGAAAAATGGAAAGTTACAAGATACTTATACTCATAGAAAGGTTATTAAATTTACGAAACACATAACTCTTGGACTGGCGTTCCTGCATCATAATGGTATTATTCATGGAGATTTAAAGCCCAGAAACATCCTAGTTAAAGTTGTGCGTGGTGGCTGCGAAACGCTTCTAATCGGTGATTTAGACGATTTAGTACAAATGCACGAAAGAGAAACTTGTTCCCGAGATATTTCGCAGTTTCGCGGCACGACACGCTATATGTCACCGGAGATGCTGAAAAAATTCGCCCAAACAGTGCTTGAGCTACCTCGACCAGGACGGAAAACGGATATTTGGAGTCTCGGTTGCATAATGCTGGAGATGGCCGAAGCGCTTATTAGTATATCCAAAAAGCGACTCGTAAAGGACGGGAATGTTGTGAACGCTGGGAGCGCTCTTACTGATCAGCAATATATTAACTTCATCATCGATGGCTTCGTGCCATACGTGAGTGACAACATTGAGGAAATCTGGGCGCGTCTCATACGAAAGTGTTTGGATCCAATTAATCACATCAGAATATCTGCACATACACTATTAAATTTTTTTGAGCGGCAAGAGGAGCAGTTTATAGTGTTCTTTCGTAAAGACGGTCGTTTCAGCGATAATATTTTGATATTCGATCCAGTTTATGGTTCATTTGAAGTTCGAAAAGTGCTTGATGCACCATCGACATTGTGGGGGACCTCTGCCCGGCTTTTATCAGGAACAGGATCAGAAATAATCTTCGTACAAAGAGGAAGAGTCGGCGCGGTGGAAAATGACGTGTTCCACTTTTGGAATGTGATCAAAGGAAAATGGCGTACGGTAATACCTTCGGTGAAGATATGGCCTATAAGCAGGATTATAGCCAAGGACAAGGTGTACCTTTGGCACAAGGACAATTTCTTCGCGGAAATGGACGTTTCGACCGGTTCTGTTAAGCCTCTGACGTCTCCTCCAAAAACTCTTTCGTACGCATGCAGTGGTTTCCCAATCAATAAAAATGCGGAAGCGTGAAACCGACAGCGCAATCATTTCCCTACAGAAACTGGCGTCATGCGCATAGTTTAAATTTCTTCGATGTAGCTGGTAAATATTAACATCAGTACGAGGAGGGAACAAGCATCTTCGGTAGCGCGTTTGAATAGTCAGGACACTTTGAACACTCGTGTGGCTGCAAATCTGGCTTAACAGTCAACCGCGGAAGGCTGGCAATCCACGTTTAACTTGGCCACTGTCAGTCAGGGCACCCATCCACGGTTGACGGTGAGGTTCACGCAGATGGGCAACATTCCACGGGTGGCTTTTAAGTGAATCATGCTGTCGCACCACTTGACGCACAGTGTTCAAAGTGTCTCGACTATTCAAACGCGCTACCGAAGATGCTTGTTCCCTCCTCGTATAGCCCGATACTAGCCGGTTTCGGACAGGAATGCGAATGCGCTCGGTCTCCTAGTCTCGTTAAGTCTCATAGGACAGTTAAAGATTCTAAAACAGGTCTTCAATTGCAGGGTTTACCCCCATCACGGTGCAGCGGCAAAGAATGGCGAGCATATATTTTATGTTATATGGCGACACCTGTTTCGATACGACACGATGAACAACGAATGGAAATCTCTACCAGATTTGCCAGAGCTTCGCTGGTACTTTTCCATGGCAGCGGTTGGCAGCTACGTATATATTATGGGGGGAACCATATCCACAGACGGTGATATGGAGCATACTGCAACGGCTGGCTGCATTCGACTGAACGCGGATACCATTAATCCTGTGTGGGAAAAGATTCAGCCACTTTCCCAACCAAGAAGCAGCCACGCCGCTTGCGTTGTCAAGGAGCGAATATACGTCTGCGGCGGCAGACATGATGAAGAACATGGCCTTGCAATCGAGTGTTATGATACAAAAAGCAACACAGGATGGTCCACCGTCAACCTATTGGAAAACGGTATCCAACGGTTATCGTACTTTGCGGCAAGTTGCAAACCGTGGTTTTCTGTGCTTTCAGCGCTGACTATTGATGTAAATAGCGATATTGTGGTATACATTCCTGATTAAAAGGCTTTCGTTAAGCGGTTTTTCGCAAAAGTTTGGACGTGAACGGATTTTAGCTTGGTGATAATTTATTATTGTTATTGCTTTAAGAGCAGACACAACCCGTTTAACGGGACTTCAACGTCTGGTCGGTACAAAAGCAAAAATCTGCATTAAGATTACGACAGATGAACCATTCGGAGAGAAAATTTAAAAAAAACCCACACCATCAACACTGAGTATCAGCATATTAACTTTTTGTATGCGCTCAAAAATGTCCTTTAAACGCATGGCCAACGCCCCTTCCCCAATCTTCGAAAATAAAAAATGTTGAAAGAAAACAGGAACCAGGTACAAGGCAAACGCCATCTCTTTCCCCTCGCTTTAGTACCGTTTATCTCTTTCCCTGCTGCATCGCTGCCGTGTGTGAACGCACACGTGACACATTTCACTCCGCTATTTCACATCTAAACCGGTTTTACGGCTGCGGCAGATTACGCAACTGAACCTGTGTACAGATAAGAGCGCTGTGCCGCCTGTGAAGAGGCTGAATCAAAGCGTCACGTGTGCGTTCACACACGGCAGCGATGCAACAGGGGAAAGAGATAAACGGTACTGAAGGGAGGGGAAAGAGATGGCGTTTGCTTTGAACTTGTTGCAGTTGTGTTGGTCTGTTGAAGATGTATAGTTAATTAATTTCTCTTGTTGTCAGTTGTCCCTTCTTTTTTCTCGTGTTTACTGCGTTTTTGCAAGGCAGTGCCACAATACTGACATTTTTTGCAATGTGATCGATATCGAAAGGCCGGACTACGATTACTATTGAACACACCCCCATTCCTAACCCTGATCGAAGAAAAAACAGTGATCCCAGGTCAGTTTTCGGCAATATAAGGTATTTATTCCGGGGTCTGAAATTTCTGAAGGAGTGGCACTGCAAAACGCTCCCTCAATGGGGTATTTTGTCGGGGAGGCCCTCTACAGCTAGGAGGGTGGCTACTGTATTCAAAATACGATGAGCGACCATTCTGATACCGGTCAGTACCTTTCTTCGTGAAATGCAAGCGCACTTTACTTTCGCCGACTATACAGGCATGCAAGCTCTCAGACAGTAACAAAGCGGGAAGATAATAAATACACACGCATAGAGTTACGGTGCTATGCGGTGCAAACGATCGTTATTGCATGCTGTTTTAAATTTATCACAACACCTGTCAAGAGAACGCAAACACCGAGGTATTCTTATCACAAATTTCAGAGTGCATAATGGCAAGACCACTATAAGCAAACATCACTATCTGTAAAGTACTGCTCCGCTTCTAAGGAACTCTAGAAGCCGTCTAAACCATTCATTATGTCCAGCAACGTTTACTGAACGGATTTCACAATACATGTTTATGATTACGTGACTGCGGTTTTTCGGTTGTGTTATCTTGTCACGATAGCTTTATTTCATAAGCTGCATTATGGTTTCTTAGTATTGCTGCTTTAAAATGCCGTTAGTACTGTATATTCAGGCTAGATAACTATTTTAGCGGCTTTTGCTACTGGTAGATGAAACCCACTATGAAGGGAGCAATGAATCTGGGCACCATTTTGCCCAAGGAATTTATATTGCGCTGAACGGCAAGCAGATTTATACCTGGTATGTATCTGCTAAAGAAAATTGTGAAGAACAGCGGGTTCCAAAATGACAATGCAGCTGGAGGGATTGCCCCCCAAGGCAGTTTCGAAATAGTTGGTTATGAGGACGCAGCGGAACGGATTTACGATGACGATACAACGGAAACAAACGACAACGACGATGCAGCCGAAGTCATGGGAAGAAATATGCAGTACCGTTACTCAAATGTTGACTATATTGGACGGGGATCGTTTGGCGTTGTGTATAAAGCCAAAGTAACAAAACGTGGCAGTTATACCGGAGAGCAGATTATCGCTGTCAAAGTGATACACGCTTACAACCACTCTACGGATGCGGAGGAAAAAGAACGTTGGACGAATGCCTTGACAAGACTGAGGAGGCTCACTGAACTATCTCACAAGCATCTCGTGGTTTATCACAAAGTTTCCATCACCCCTGCTTCCGGTGGAGTGATTGCCGAGCTGGTTATGGATTACTACAAAGGTGATCTAAATTTGAATTTTTTTATGAACTTAAAAGGGTAGTAATTTCAAAGGGGGCATTTACTTTTTAAGTTCTTAGCCTTCTACTGACCTTTTACACACACACTTTTTTAGGTGACCTTGCTTCGTTCCTGAAGGACACAAAGGAGAATGAAGACCTTCGAAACAGCTTCAATTATAGAAAGGTTATAAAATTCACCATATATATAGCTCGTGGATTGGAGTACCTGCATCGGAATGGCATAATTCATGGAGATCTGAAGCCCGAAAACATCCTTGTACAAATCGCAGAAGGTGGCCGTGAAAAGCTTCGAATCGGCGATTTGGACGACTTAATACAAATGCACCAAAGCCACACTTGTTCCGAAGATTTTTTGAAAATTCGTGGCACAACACGGTATATGTCACCGGAAATGCTAATTAAATTTATCAAAACAGCAGAGTCATTACCACCAGGAAGGAAGACGGATATCTGGAGTTTGGGCTGCATAATTCTGGAAATGGCCGAATGCTCTAAAAATGTATCCAAAAAGCAACTCGTAATGGACGCGAACGTTGTAGATGGAGGAAGCGAAATAAGTGAAACCCAGTACGCTACGCTGATCATCGACGGTTACGTGCCGTTTGTGGATGGCGCCATTGAAGAAAACCTGGGGCGTGTCATCCAGCAGTGCCTGCGTCGAACAGTTGGAGAGAGAATATGCGTAGACGCACTGCTGAGTGTCTTTAAGATTCAAAAGAAACAAGTTATACTATTTTTTCCACACCCCGGCCACATCGATCAGGTGTTGATATTTAATCCTTCGACCAGTTCCTTTACTGTTCGGGAAGTGCTTGGGTCACCAGCAGCCCTATGGGGACCATATGCCGTGTTAGCCGGTCCAAAATCAGAGGTGATATTCGTACAGCGAGTAAAAACTCGTGCGGGTAGCGCAAATAATGTGTTCCACTTCTGGAATCTGATGGAAGGGAGATGGCGTGAGATTACGCCTTCCAGGCAGTCATCATTCAGTGAAGCGATTGTAGTGAAGCACCGGGTTTACCTTCGGAATAAAATGAAATTCTTTGCGGAAATGGACGCTTTTACTGGTCGGATTGCTTCCCTGAAGACACCTCGAAAAGCTTATCAGTATGCAAAAATATTTTTGTCAGTTTTATTTTTTAAATTCTAACAAGAATTTTCAGTTGCAGTCTTGATCCAAGTGCAGTGGCAAAATGTGGCAAATATATATTCTATGTCACATGGGACTGCTTGCTGCGATACAATACGGAGAACCACGAATGGCGGTCCTTGCCGAATTTGCCAGAGAAGCGATGGGACTTTGCAGTGGCGGTCGTTAATGGATACATGTACGTTATCGGCGGCAAGGTACCTGATTCTGTAGGCGGCGACACAGACCGTATCGCAACAGCTGATTGCATTCGTTTGAATCTGGATGCTCCTGATCCTACTTGGGAAAACATGTCGCTGCTTGCGCAACCCCGATACTGGCATGCGGCTTGCGTTGTCCAGGATAGGATATATGTCTGCGGTGGTAGACATGCTGCAGAACAGCACGCACTTGCAATAGAGTTTTATGATACCAATAACGACGCAGAATGGTCGATCGTAAGCTTGCTGGAGAAAGATGAACAAATGATATCTAATTTCGCAGCAAATATTAAGCCCGGGGATCCGTGGTATGGAGTATTGAGCGCGTTGACTGTTGATTTGGAAAGTGAGATTGTCATAAACATTTCTGTTTGAAGTTACTAAGTTTGTAACCAAGCAGCGTATTTCAGAAATGTCTTGAGGTCGGTTCTTGCGAGAACGCATTCGCCGAGGCATCGGTTGCACAGCAGTCGCATCACAAAAATCATTTTGCATAAATTACTGGAGTTTTATAACTTAGTTTATGTATAATGTCTGTTTCCCGAAGCAGACAGCGATAAATAAAGTTCTGTATCGCATATACAGAGTATACTTACTTTCGCAATGCTTTAGCGTTTCGGTTGTATTATGTAGAATCGAATTCGTAAATAATAGTTTAGAGAGAAAATTGGCGAACACCTTGTCTCGTTACTTTGTCAGCAGGCATTTTGCCGCCGGCATTACGGGTATTACGACATTGCGGGTATGTATGTAAGACAGTTGCACATGCCATGCATGTGATACGAAAATGGAAAGACCGAAAGTCTTGAAGTACTTGTACGTGTAACATGTCTACCGCGCATTTAGTACGCGCTTCTAGCATTTCGATATTATGCCATTGTGGTCCACATCAGTCATCACCGATTTGACACTGCTGAGAGCTCCCGTGCTGGACGACGCGATGGCTCCTACTCCTAGAGTAGGTTCACTGAGAAAACAGCAATAATGAATCACTTTATAATTAATTTGACAATAACTATGCGTAAAGTACGGTGAGCCGGTTAAGGAAGTATTTGCAGGATTACGTACACTAGTTGCGCTACAACACTGGGATCGAAACCGCCGCCCGTTGCCCATACGCTCCCGGGCCTCGGCCACCATAAAAAACTGAAAGAATTCGTCCTGTGTCAGAGTTTCTTACCGTATCAATATGGTTATATGGATACCATGAAACTTTCGTCAATTTTTTCAGGTTGTGTACTTTGTTACGTTTACTGTTCTGTTTTCGAAATGAACGGATACCGAAGCAGAGTGAAGTTCTCATAAACTGAAACGAATTTAACAATTAGCAGCCTCTCATGTGCATTGCTATTTCAGTCGGCAGTACAAATATTGATTACTTTGTATGTGATTTATCGTAACTGTGTTCTCCGCGTAGGACCCTACTCTGTAGTTAAAATGTTTTGTTTCAGTTTACACAAAAAAAATGTTACAAGATAACAGATGCTAACATATAAGTAAAGCCGTCAACAGTATAATCCTGACTCTGAGGAGGAATTTCTTGACTCTGAAGAGGAATAAACTTACCTGTATGTCTTATATGTACCTGTGTCCTGCACAATACTCGTAATTTTGATTAATGCAGCATTCTGTTGGCTATCAGCATGTGCAGCGACGGCCGCGTAAACTTTCCTACCGGTGCCGGTACTTCTCTTTCTGTAGCGTTAGCTCTTGTACTTTGTTCTATGGTTCTATGTAAAATAAGCTAGGCTTTCGGAACAAATGTTTTCAGATGACAGAATGCCGGAAACAGTTCCCAAATATATGCAAATATTATGAAATACTGTAGCTGTGCGTGAAAACCAGCACGAACATCTCAGTTGGAATCTCTGAGGCTCACCCATAATGTCACCAACATTACATTATTACTGTAATTCATCTTCCCCACATAATGTTTCACGTCAAATTTATAAAACAAGAACATAAATTTAAACCGAGAAGTTGTGGATGCACTACACCAAGTAGAAAATGTCACCAACACGGGAGCAGAACGATAGATCAGTTTATGTCATTTACTGTATCTCCTTCCCCGTCTCGTGTTCCACACCCACACGCACACACTCATCTCATTCGCGGGCCCCACAGGAAGCAGTGTAGCGTCAAGCCCGCTTCAGTTTCATCTTGACAGAGCTTCCGCCCACGATGTCTTCCGAAAGTCGGCACTCATGCAGCTGCCAGCGGTCCGCATCGGGGTCGTACACTTCGATGCTGGCGTCGTCAGCATCGCGGATTCGGCGATCCCACGAAGCGTTCCCACCCAGGACGTACAACTTCCCCTGCAGACACGCACAGGCTGGCTCATTGCGCGGATGGACCAGATCGCCTGTCGATGCCAAAAACAACAAGCGCAATTAAGAACCGTCATTCCCATTACCATGCCCATGTGCAGCCGTCGGCTTAATGAGCTGCACACGAGCCAAGACCGGACTTCACCGGGCTCGACAAGTGAGAGCGAAGATAGCCGCAAGACGGGCCATTGACGGCTGATGTAGCCTAGCCGTATGTACATCCACTGACGGCACCAAGAAAACACAAACTGTGTGATGTCGAAAAATCCGACGTATGGGCATACTATACGATAGGGTTCAACATCTGGACAGTATGGCCAACCACGCTTGGGCGTAACATTTTGACCTGCAGTTTTATGCCTTGAAAATGTATTTTTTTCGGCAGCTGCGGAACTGCAAGTCAAAATGTAACTCATATGGAGGGTTTTTCCAAGTTCGCTTGCTAATAGTTGTATGTAACGCGTGCAAAGTGTAGCTGCGTAGGGTAGCGGGCCGTGGTATGGAGCGTAGCGTAACCCATGAATTTGTATTTCTAGCCGCTGTATCTTTACGCAGAGAATAGATAACTACTGGGCTTGTATGCGTCTGGTCTATGACAGTGTGGCAGTCCAGCTCTCGGCGTCACGCGTGCAGAGTCGGTTCTGGTACAGTACAACTAAGGCCTCGTCCCGATTTCGAAGCGAATCTCGCTATGGTACGGTTGCTCAACCGCACGAGGTGCTGTATGCAGTGGCCACGCCTACAGATACAGTACGCGAAGCCACCTCGCGAGGTGGAGTTGCTGTATCTCAACGAGATTCGCTTTGAATTCGGGACGAGGCCTAAGATACTAAGCTCCTGCCTTCTTTCAGCCATTGATTGGTGGCGGGATTGTAGGCCTCCACGCGCACACAGCCTTCCATTTCACCGGCTTCCAGGCCTGCCGTGCTTCCCCTTCGCAATACACCGCCAGACTTAAGGAAAATGGCCCGGTACATAGGGCCCAAGATGGTATACGTACACTAAAACTTACGCTTGCAGCGCACTCCGAATGACTTTTTTGTAATACTTTATGTCATTGTAAAGCTAAATGATTTGTTTACATTGTTCTGAAAACCGTTTGCGCGCGCAACATCCGGTCGCCGAGATATGGTGAAACAAAATGGGGAAAAAGTTTAAATGCATTGTCGTGCACCAAACGTCTGGTTACCACCCGATCTTCTTGAAACGTTGCTGTAAAAGACACATGGCCGTAAAGTCGAAAGTGAACCAATATCAGAATTACAGCATCTTTTTCCGATTTTAAAATGAATTTCAAAAATTTTGAAATTTGTTTTAAAATTATGGGAAGCGTTAAGAACCTGAAAATGGTTCACTTTCGACCTTATGGTGATGTGTCTTTTACAGCAAAGTTTCAATTGAAGATCGGATAATAACCAGACTTTTGGTACACGACAATGCATTTAAACTTTTTGTCCATTTTGTTTCGCCATATCTCGGTAACCGGATGTTGCGCGCGCAAACGGTTTTCAGAACAATGCAAACAAATCATTTAGCTTTGCAAAGACATAAAGTATTACAAAAAAGTAATTCGGAGTGCGCGCAAGCGAAAGTTTTAGTGTATGTATACCATTTTGGACGCTATGTACCGGGCCATTTTCCTATGACTATGCTGTAGGCACTCTTGTCCATAGCACTCATACCGACACAGTCATACTCATACCCACTACGTAAATCAGTCCGTCGGGCGCCACACACGCAGCGCAATTGTAGCGGGCGCTGGGCGTAATCGTGCAACCGGCTCCAGGCGTTGGCGGCTGGATCGTAGGCAAAGGCACCATTGCTAACGTGTCCATCTTCCGTTTCTCCACCGAACGCATACAACAGCCCGCCATACGCCACCATCACCAAATTCATCAGACCGACGGGTAGTGGGGCCACCGCACTCCATGAATTACTCTTCGGGACATATGCTTCGACGGACGACAGTACTGGCACCGGAACTGGCATTTGCCCATAGCCACCGGCCACGAAAACGCGACCATCAAGGACAGCCGCAGCTTCGCTGCTGCGCACTGTCTGCATGGCGGCCAGTGCCATCGGTGGTCCGCTCAGGCGCGTGTAGCTGTGGTCGCGCTGGACCGCTTCCACTCCTTGTATGGAGATCAACATCATCCGGCCATCGTCCAGCATCGCGACGTTGGGATACTCACCGAGCGGCGGCTGATCGGTCAGGCGCCACACTGCCGGGATCGACGGACTGAAGACCTGCACCGCACTAGCCTCCCAATTGTCTTCCCAGTTCTCCACGCAGACGAGCACTTCCTGCGCCCCTACCACCAACACAACACGATCAATGGATTCTCATTGTCCGCGATAAACTGCATGAGACGTGCAAGCGACAACATGAACAACAATCACTCTCCGATTAATCACAACACGATTAATGGATGCAAGCGACAACATGAACAACAATCACTTTACTTCGAGATATCATCCGTAAATTTGCGAACCCACAAAACACGAATCGTAGTTACCACTGTACAGGGATTATCTCCCACTAACCATATGCATGCCGCGGGGTGGTGTTTTGCACTGTCCCACCGGCTATCCCCGTCGTCGCACTGGCCAAGGCCGCCGCGTACTGCAGTCGGCACGGACAGTCTGCAGGACCGCGGACACGTGCAGCAGCCGTCTGGGACGGTCATAATCCAGCCAGCGCCGCACCGCCTCCCACACTTCATCCTCACAGTACACCCCCACATCATCCGACCCAATCAGCGCAGTGAGCTGCAACACAAACACGGGTGTTACAGGCACTATGCTGACCCGCCATTCACATAAATTCGTCGACCGCCTAGTTTCTTTGCGTTTCTTCGAACAGCTTAAGTTCTTCTTTGCGGCCGCCCTGGTGGCGGTCGGTACACATGATAGTCGACACAGTGTTCAATGAGCGTGATTGTGCTCTACACATGTGGCACATGTACAGTAAATAAAAAAAAAACAAGCATCAAATTAATAACTAGCAAAAATAATGATAACTGATAAATAATAACTAGTGCAGTAGCAGCTAATAATAATAACTGATAACTAGCAACTAATGCATACTAATAATAACGATTAATAAACACAAATAATAATAAATACAGTAATTACTGTATCGCCCTATCAGTCCGGCTTGCGTACCTGTTCCGCCTCGATCTGCAGAAAGTCCTCGCTCTGCGCTAGGCGCAAAAAGTGTGGATGGATGAAGGCTTAGGGCTAGGGCGGCGTCGAGCAGGCGAGGATGGTGGTGCTGCGCCGCCAGAGCGTGGACGGCCAGGCAGGTGGACAAGCTCAGCTTCTGCTCCACGTACTCCCAGCATATCCCCGCCACGGCGTCCATCTGCAGAAATTGCGCCGCAACCAAGAGAGACTCCATGTTCTCCTCACTAATGCGCAGATCCAGCGTGTAGGCGAACTGCACTAGTCTGCGGAATGTGATCAGTATTGTGCAGTTTACACTGGGAAATGCTTGTAAGTTGTAACACAACTTAAGCCAACACGATTTACCAGTGGCGTAACAGCTCAGCGATTTGCGGCCACGCCAAACACGTACTCGTTCAGTGTGCGACTGTCGATGCTCTTCAGCTGCAGATCGCGCTGCGAGGACTCTTTCCAGTCGTGCGTGAAGAGCGAACGAAAGTATCCACTGTGGACGGTGAGGACGTTGCGATGGCAGGGGATACCAAGCGCCGTTTCTTCGCTACCCTTCAGCACCACATCGCATAGGGTTCCTGTTGACTGCAGTTCATGCAGTCTACGCAGGAATTCGTCGGCCAAACAACCATGACTGTGAGGAGGCGAATCTGCAGAACAAACAGGCTTCGACATGCTGATACAGTGGAGAGCGTTCTCTGAACGATTATAAAATGTCTCTTCAGCGTTTATAATAATATAAATACAAACTCGCACTAAAAGCTATGTAAAAAGTGAAGTAAAGGGAGATCCCAGAATCTATATTCTAGATGCGGGAAAGGGAGCTGCAACGCAGCAACTGAGCAAGTTAGCAATCTGCACTCGGCAGAGGCAAAAACCGTAACCGCCGCCCTGAGAGCCTCGTCGAGCACAGACAATTGTACCGAACATTCCGCTTTAGATTTTCCGAATATTGGTTCACTCTTTATCTGTCTCTTTAAAGCGGAGATGTCATGACCGCATTTTTCGTTTGAGATAATAATCAGACTTATTATTCCCCGTTCCCGTGATAAACGCCCCGTGCGGATTCATGCGACCCTTCTCGACACCCACGAAAAAACAAAGGCCCAAGGCGGTTGAGTGAAATCAATAGGGACGCACACGGCGTATGGTATGCTGGATCAGGGTCGTTCCACGTTGTGTTTGCCCTGCAGCAAAGAATAGTTAACCAATGTTTAATTTCCCGAATACTGTATGCAGAACGTAATTACTGTACATATTGCGCACGCGGTATCTTTATTTGTGTCTTCAATCACTTTTCAATATAATTTCATACTTTAACGTTTTCGCATTCCGGGATAATATGGATTCGCATACCAGACACCAGAGAAACGGTATTCTCAGTGCTACTCCGCATTAGGAAACAGAAAGAAAGCAAAAGCAGCTTCGGAAAGCGTTATTGAAGCTCTTAATTGTACATGTAAGTATGTAACCTGAGACGATCCCGTAGAACTTAAATTAGGTCACTCTGACCGCCCACAGGAGCAGCTACGTAACTCGCGAGCATGCTTTTTGCTATCACGTGAGCAGGAGCCAGCATGCATGCTACCTCGCGCAAGCAGACCAGTACGTACAAGGAAGTGGCGAGCCTCCACAACAGTAGCTGATTTTGAAATTTGCAGACCAAGGTAAACAAAACTGTTTTTGTATAGTTCTTTCGCAAATGCTCAAGGTGATGAAATAGCGTTGATGTTAGGACGTAGCCGTGCACACTCAGCACACGTTTCAGGTTGAGTGCTCTTGGTTAATGATCACCTAATTCTCTTCACCGTCTTTCAAGCACTCCCGAACACACAAAATCTCGTACAAGATCCCGAAATGTAAGACGGGATAGCTTTGATCCGTAAGAACATTTCGAAATCCTTCGGTTTATTAATTATTGTGCATTCTGCATCACATATACAGTAGAAAGACGAACGCTGCGAAGACCACATCATGGCAAACGCGTCCAGGTAAGTTGACTTCAACTTTACCTTGTAATGCGCCACCAAGTTCCTGCTTTCGTGCTAAATTTTGAGCTTGCGTCCTATCGTGGTAACTACTTTCAGAACCCCGGAAAGCGCGTGGTGCGGTGAAGTTGCAGTTCCTGAAGCATCCGCCAAAAACTCTGTAAGTGTCGGATTTTCTATCATCACCGGTTACCATGGTCGACTGACGTTTTCACTTGGTCTTTGCAAATATTTCATCTAATTTCATCTGTAACTCTCAAACTACATAAAAGCGTTTTATGTGTCCCACTAGCATACATAAGACAAGCATTTTAAAACATTTTTGCGACTTTTGCGAATTAAACAATACTGCAACGATTCTGCAATGAGAGTTTACTAAATGCTGCGGTGCGTTTCCAGGAGAAGAACCAATACGGTTCTCAACGTCAGAAGGAAACGGAACTGACCGCAAAACTTCACGATTTAACTGTGCTGCGTACTGAGTCACCTGCGCGTAGACCTCCGACGTGTGGATTCCCCAAAGAAAACGTTTCTCCTGGTTTGTCGCCGGCTGATCCAGTATGGGAGATGCTTGACCCAACCCCAGACATTCATGCATTGTTAAGAAAATTCAATGCGGACTACTTTGAGAATACTCTCGGAAAAGTGAAAGTGAGATGGACCAATAAACTGAAGTCGTAAGTTTTCAATCAGACAAACCAACTGTTACGTTGACTGTTGAGTGCATTACTGCAGTTGTGGTGGCTTGATTAGGTTAGACAATAGGTAGAGTCTGTACGGAATAACAGCGCTTGCTACGTTGAAACTGCTCTGCAAACGGACACGCGCAAAGCACACGTTGTAAACGCACTTTTTCTGCACACAATCTGTGGCCTACTTGCTCGAGCCGCTACAGTGTCAACCTTAGAATCTACACAACTTCCGCAAATCAAAAACTCGCCATCTGATACGAATACCCAAAGCCTACGCTAGACCATTCTGAACATAACAATCACAGACTTAATTATTCAGTATCTGCATTTTACTTTGCTTTCGTATTAAATTTCGGAATCATTGCAGGGATGCTGGCAATTTCCGGAAACCAGATTGCATGATAAGGCTCAGCTTACCACTACTGAAGTTCCGTCCGCGTAATGATCTCGTTGCTACTTTGCTGCACGAGATGATTCATGCTTACCTTTTCGTAACCAACAAGGATGATGGTCATGGTGACAATTTCCTCGAGGAGATGTCGCGCGTTAACCAGCTATCCGGCGCTAACATCACGGTCGAGCACTCTTACCATGACGAAGTGGAATACCACTTGCAGCATATATGGCGCTGCAATGGTCCTTGCCGGCTTGTCAAGCCACATTTTGGGTATTTTCGGCGTGCACGCAATCTGCCCCCTGGTCCGACTGAAGACTGGTGGGCCGCTCATGTTAGAAAATGTAGCGGAGCGTTCATCAAGATCAAAGAGCCCAAAGGGTTTGCAAGCAGAAAACGAAAAACTCCAGATGACGATGATTATAACAAGTATCATGAGTCCTGCGGAGAGTTGGGACCTCCGCCAGCTAAACTTTTGTTCAGAGGACCACCGAGAGTTTTAGTTACTCCGCCTTGCAGTATCCCATTGAGTGAGCCGTACCCAAGCGATTTAGAACCACCAGGGGATGAACTGGAAGTGCCGGCACCACCTGCAGATCCTTCGCCGCTTGGTAAGTTTAATTATCCGCCGTTTGGTTGATGGAAATTCGTGGCTCGTCTCTAAATCACACACCATGAAGTCGAGTTAGTATTTTGGCAAACAAATCTTATTCATCTTAGGGTTTCTTATATGCTTCAGGCTTCCTTAGATTGTAGTTTTCTTAGGCTTTTTTGCTTTCTTAGTTTTCGTCGCCTTGAACGACGTGCTAGGGAGGCGGCCAGAGGATGCACCATGGCTTCCGTGTTGCATTCGTTGCAGAATCATGTCTCTCTGGCTTCAAGTATGTGAAATGAAATTGTTTTTACAGGCTTACCACCGGCCAGTGTCCCTGCCTTGGCTGCTTGTATACCACCGCAGATTAGCCTACCGGAATGCAGCCCTCCATTTCCTAGTTTTTCGGAATATGAATCACCACCGTCGGCTGCTCCCATATATGGGCCAACCCCGTCCGGTGTTCCTGTATATGGGCCATGTCCGCCCAACCCCATCAAACCGGTATACGGGCCGCCGGCTGTTCTTTTTTATGGACCACCATTGTACGCTTCGCCAGGGTATGGACCACCGCCGTATGGCGTGCCAAGCATGCCGCGATATTGGCCTCCACTGTATTATGGGCCACACTTTTCCGGCCAGCTGGGATACGGACCACCGCCGTACGGTCTACCCGGATATGGACGCCCAACGGACTGTGATTTGGTGTATGGGTCAGTTCCGTCGAGTTTTCCTGTTTACGGGTCAAGACCGCCCAATCAGCCGGTATATGCACCACCATTTTCGGGTGTCCCGGGATATGGACCACAACCGTCGGCTGTTCCTGGCCCTGGGTATGGGTATCCACCGTACGGGTGGCCAGTATATGGATCTTCACAGTCGAGTGTCGCAGTGTACGGGTCACCATCGTCCGGTATGCCAGTCTGTGGGTCATCGTCGCCGGTTGCCCCGGTTTATGGGACATCACGTGCCGGTATGTCCGTATACGGGACACCATCGTATGGCATGCCAGTACATGTACAACCGCAACTCAATGCCCCGCAGCAAGGCTTGGCTTTGTCCGGTATGCCGGCTTATAGAACGCCAGCGTACAGTTTTCCGGTGTTTGGGCCACCAACACGCACGCCAGTATGCATATCTGGAGGATCTCCGGAAATTGTAGCAACCTCGCCACCCCGGTCTCCATTGTTTGAACCATATTTTGAGGAATGCGAATCGGGATCGTATGACTTCCTGTCAACTGGACCAGACTACGCTCTGTAATCGCTAGGCTTTTATTAACCGTTATTTGTCTTAAGTATTTGGTCAAGATCATGGAGTTGTATGATACCCACCCTTTTATTGTCAGTCGCTTCTGCTACGGCTTTATTTGACTCGCAATGGGATTGAGGAGGTCGGAAAGTCGGTGGTACATAATTTAGATAGTAGAGTCTTTGTTTCGCTTTCGCAAAATCTGGATGACTGTCGATGTGGCTAAGCGCTTGTTAAGAGTTTTCTTCTTTTTTGACTGTTAAGGATCGTGGAATTGTCTGTGATTTACAATGTAGGACAAAATGGTCGCATAGCCCCATACCCAGCATTCTGTACGCAAGCGGTGCAGTGCACTTGTACGAAACGGATATTTTGAACTCAGTCGTACAGTGTACTGCACTGCATTCGTACTGAATGTGGAGATGTTGGGTATGCGACCATTTTGTCCTAAGCTGTAATTCTTTTGTGTTTACAGGTTTTTGCACAATTGCGTTCAACCTTCTCTCTTTTCTTACTTTCGGCTGACTGTTCATTTGGAAAGTGAGATGGTAATAGGCATCCCTGGCTGACCCGACTTTGGCACATAATGATTCCTTTCGGAAATAGCTCGAAGAATCTTGTGGTCTTAATAAATGCTTATGGGCCGAACGAGTGCCTTCCCTGCTGGCCTGGGCTTCGGCAAGAGAAGTCCGTCAGTAAAGTAGCAAAAGGAAATATTTATTTTTCTATAAACTTCAGCTGCACTCAGCCTGAGTGCA